CTTTTAATAGTGTACGCATCGCTTTCAATGATATACCCATCGGTGTTGCTCGGATACCATATAGTGCTCACAGGGACGCAACAGACCACTAGGGAATTCCTGAAACACGTAGGTCATAAAACTCCAGTCTTTACTAGAGTCACTTCATACACAGATAATATATTTGAAAAATCTTCATTCTGGAAGAACATGTACACGTTAATGCTACAGCCAAGAGGAATCTCACTGGTCAGCGCAAGAAGAAAACAACAAGGAAACACATGGAGATACATTGATATAAACCAGCAACAAGAATAGTTCCATATCCGACCCATCTTTCAAGTTCAATGCTGTGTTTGTCTCCTACAACACACAGTGACAGTATTTTTTGCAGACTTCCAATTCTAAAATTTCAAAAACACATATCAACACAGCATTAAAAAGGTATCAAATGGAACTACCAATAGGCAACCAATGTACCAGCGACCAAATACAAAGAGCCATTGTCATTGTCATTGTCATTGTCATTGTCATTACCATTGGCATTATCAGTGCCATTGCATTCAACCAGTCGTTATCCTCTCCGCTTTACCCGGACTTCCGCTCTTAACTATGGAAGTATCGCCAAGGAGAGAGAAATCCCGAATTTCGAATTTCGAAAGATTTTAAATCAGAAGGCTCTCAGATATAACAAACATCACCATCACCATAAGGTTTAGCATTAGGTTTAGGTTTATCTTTAGTTTTAACGTTATTGTTGGTCAAAGGAGAAGGTTATTGGTTTCTATATATACAAGGAAACACACACAGTTTGATTTGTCATTCTTTTTTGTTATTTGCTTTGTTATTTTTGTAACATATCGAGATTTAAGTTTTTATCTGGATTTGTTATTTTATTACCTCACAGGAAAAGAAATTGCTTAAGAAGTTTTTTTCTTTTGGTGTTAGAAATCGTATATTTATTTGTATTGGGATTGGAGAATAGTACCAACCAAGACGTTTTGGTGTTGTAGTTATTATACGTTATGAGATTGTTTGAGAATAGTTATGATTTTGAGTACCCTTGGGCTCATGTTACTGCTGCGAACTGGAAGAAGTATCCAAACGAGATCTCGACTCATGTAGTTGCAGTTGACGTTTTGAGAAGGGAGTTGAAGGATGATGGGAAGTTGTTGGTCACTGAAAGACTGATTACTTGTAAACAGGGTGTCCCTAGATGGATCATGATGATGTTGGGTGGTAGCAATGTTAGTTATATTCGTGAAGTTTCAAGTGTTGATATTGAAGCGAAAAAATTGACTATGAGGAGTTGTAATTTGACTTACTCTAACTTGTTAAAGGTTTATGAGACTGTCAACTACGAGCCTCATCCAAATGATCCTGAGAATAAGACTTTGTTCACCCAGGAGGCCCAGATTACGGCTTATGGTGCCATTACAAGAATTTGCAATAAACTTGAGGAATGGTCCGTACAAAGATTCCATGATAATGCGTTAAAGGGTAAGATGGGGTTCGATTCAGTGTTGGTTAAATTCGAACAACACTGGGAACAAAGAGAAAAATACGTCGATGAAATCGGTACTACTATCAGAAATAAAGTTAACGAAACTGTCGAAGACATAAAAATTACTGCGGAAGATTTGTTAAAGGAAACTGAAAGAAAGAAATCCATATTGTACCAACACCGTGAGCTTCTAAGAGACGCTTTCGAGGATAACAGAGTTTAATCCTCTGTTGTTTCTTTAACCTATCATTCTTCAAGTCGAAATTGCATTGTCATGATTTATGTCCATTTCCTTTTTTTTTTATTTTCATTTTGTATTGTCCAATTTTCCATCTTTCATTTTGTTCATCAGGTCCACCCTGGAATACAATTGTCATTTGCAAATATCAAATATTCTTAACCTTTCGAATACAGTCCACTTGCGACATGTTTTCTATTACAACATACTTATTACACCATCATGTTTTTATTAGTTTTTTTTTTTCCCTCTTCACATTTCCATTTTCACTGGAAAGTCTAAAAGTACCTCTTTCTGTACATACAAACAAGCTACTTTCAAGGCTCTGAACTAGTCATTTACATAGAGTACATAGCAACCAACTACCTAACTGGTTACCCATTAGAAATATAACGTAAATATTTTACATTTTAAATACATTTGAAGTTCTTCTATTTATTACTCAACTGTCTTCTTTATTACCGTACAATTTTTCAATATCAAATATATCGATGGCGATGGCCTGCCTTCTAATATATTGAGATTGAAAAAAAAAATATAATCTTGCAACTTTTATCAGGACAACTAGAAACTTTTATCAGGGTTATAAGGATTCCTTAGGGTCGATTGAGGTGTCATTTGAAAGCAGGAAACTGTAGGATATAAAATGTCTAGTATAGGTTCTCAAGTTCGTAAAGCTTCTCCCTCTGTGGACCCAATTGTTACCGATTACGCTGTTGGTTATTTCAACCATTTATCAAATGTCATCCATGATGCTGTTCAAAGTAAACAGGTTGATTTAGAACATGAGATTCAGTTTGTCACCGATCTGTTGGTTAATGCAGGTGCCATCAAGGATAAGATTGATGCTGTTTCCAAGGAGTTATTGAATAATTTGTCTTTGGAATTGAAAGAAAACCAGGCTAAATTGGAATTAACTGGTGATACTTCCAAGAGATTGTTAGATATTAATGTGTTACAAAGTCATAACAGTAAGGCCAATATCAACGCCTCTTTGAGTATGTTAGGTGTTAATGGTGATATTGAACATGCCGGTAGAAATATGGAGACTAGAGTTGATTTGAAGAAATTAGCTAAAGCAGAACAAAAGATTGCTAAGAAAGTTGCTAAAAGAAATAACAAGTTTGTTAAATATGAAGCCTCTAAGCTTATCGATGAAAGAAAAGAAAGCGATTACGACTCTTTCTTCTTGGAAATCAATCCATTGGACTTTGGTTCAGGTGCTGGTAAATCAAAAGATATTAAACTTGATACTTTTGATCTTTACGTTGGTGATGGTCAAAGAATCTTATCTGACGCTCAACTAACTTTAAGTTTCGGTCGTAGATATGGTTTGGTTGGTCAGAACGGTATTGGTAAATCTACCCTATTGAGAGCTTTGTCCAGAAGAGAATTGAATGTCCCAAAACATATTTCTATCTTACATGTTGAACAAGAATTGAGAGGTGATGAAACAAAGGCCTTGCAAAGTGTCTTGGATGCTGATGTTTGGAGAAAACAATTGTTAACTGAAGAAGTAAAGATTAATGAAAGAATCCAAGAAATCGAAAAGTTAAGTGACGAGTTTGATGAAGAAAGTTTGGAAACTAGAAAGTTAGAAAATGAACGTGAAGATTTGGAAAAACATTTAGAACAAATTTCAGAAAAATTAGTTGACATGGAATCCGATAAAGCTGAAGCAAGAGCAGCTTCTATCTTATTCGGTTTAGGTTTCAGTGCAGAGGCACAACAACAACCAACTAATTCTTTCTCCGGTGGTTGGAGAATGAGATTGTCATTAGCCAGAGCTTTATTCTGTCAACCAGATTTACTATTATTAGATGAACCAACCAATATGTTGGATGTTCCTTCTATCGCCTACTTATCAGAATATTTAAAGACATACCCATCAACCGTATTGACAGTTTCGCATGACCGTGCATTCTTGAATGAAGTTGCTACCGATATTATTTATCAACATAACGAAAGATTAGATTACTACAGAGGTCAAGACTTTGATTCATTCTACGCTACAAAAGAAGAACGTAGAAAGAATGCTCAAAGAGAATACGAAAACCAAATGGCATACAGAAAGCATTTACAAGAATTTATTGATAAATACAGATATAATGCTGCCAAATCTCAAGAAGCTCAATCGAGAATTAAGAAGTTGGAAAAACTACCTGTATTGGAGCCACCTGAAGAAGAAAGAAGTATTAGTTTCAAATTTCCAGAATGTGAGAAATTATCTCCACCTATCATCCAATTACAAGATGTTAGTTTCGGTTACAATGAAAAGAATTTACTTCTTGCGGACGTTAATTTAGATGTTCAAATGGATTCTAGAATTGCTCTTGTTGGTGCTAACGGTTGTGGTAAGACTACATTATTAAAGGTTATGATGGAGCAATTGAGACCATTAAAAGGTTATGTTTCACAAAACGGTAGATTGCGTATTGGTTACTTTACACAACACCATGTTGACTCTCTAGACTTAACCAAATCAGCTGTAGACTGGATGTCCACTGCATATCCTGGTAAGACTGACGAAGAATATAGACGTCATTTAGGTGCTTTCGGTATCACTGGTTCTTTAAGTTTACAAAAGATGCAATTATTATCTGGTGGTCAAAAATCTCGTGTTGCCTTTGCTGCATTGTGTTTGAACAATCCTCATATCTTAATTTTAGATGAACCTTCTAACCATTTGGATACTTCTGGTATTGATGCATTAGTTGACGCTATGAAAAAATTCACTGGTGGTATCTTGATGGTTTCGCATGATATTTCTGTTATCAGTAATGTTTGTAATGAAATTTGGGTGTCTGAAAATGGTACCGTCAAGAGATTCGACGGTACTATCTACGATTACAGAGATTATATCTTATCATCAGCAGATTCTTCAGGTGTTGTTAAAAGACATTAGATAAAATTAAATAATATTGAAATTAATTAGATAATACACATATAATTGCTTTTACTGGTAGCATGAAATCTTGGTCAAAAAGTTCTAAGTTGATCTTCAATTAATAGTGTTAATGGTATTTTATTCTATATATGCTATATAATGGATATTATTTTAATAATAATTCGGCTTTACGTTTGCTTGTGACTGGGTCAAGCACAGATTTCAATTGTACCTCAACTTTATCAAAGACATGAATTTCTCTTTGTTTACCGGTATCGATTTGGGTAAAAGTTAATTTAAAGTCAACTTCATCAAAGTTCGCAGAACTGGTATCTTTTGTTAAGTTCTCCAATCTTATTAAACCTTCAACACCGAATTTAGGAACGATGACAACAATACCATTGTTTAGAACTTTAATAACGTAACCAGTTTCAACCGATTCGTTATTTCTCATGACTTGGCCAACATAGTATTCAATACTAGCTCTACCTGCAAATTGAGCATTTCTGTGTCTTCTATTAATATTTTTACAAATCATCTCCATCTTGTTCTTATCTCTGTGGGATAAATCTAAAGGTTCATAACCAATAGCACCTGCCAACTGCCTGTGTGCAACAACATCACAGTAACGTCTAATTGGAGAGGTAAAATGTGTATAAATATCCACTGCTAAACCATAATGACGGAAATCAGAATATGAGTAAGCACCTGAATAGAAATATTGAGCAGCCATCATACAACGGGTAGACATGATACGTACCAAAGTATTGAAATAAGGATCTTTTTTATCAACACAACGGTCTAAGGAATCTGCCAAAGCTTTTGATGATTCCAATGAAATAGAAAGACCTTTTCTCTTTTGTAACATTTCGTTTAATATTTCGAAATTAGTTGATGGTGGAGCAGCATGTCTTCTTAACATTGCAGTTTGTGGGAAAGAATCATAAATTTTCCTTGCGACAGAAATGTTAGCTAGTAACATAAATTCTTCAACCAGCGAATTAGTTGCTAATAATTTTTTTATTTCAACTTCACCTGGATCAGAAGTTTCACTGTCCATATGAACTTTAACTTCTGGAGAAGCTAAGTTTAAAGCACCAGCGTCCAATCTCTTTTGTTTCAATTTGATAGATAAATCTAACAAAGCTCTCATACCTAATGTCAATTCATCAGTTTGGTTTTTGTCATCGATTCTAAGTTGAGCTTGTTCATAAGAAAATGCTTCTCTTGATCTGATAACGGATTTCGAAAAATCGACCTTCACAATATCAGCATTTTCATCCAATTCCCATATCACGGAAAATGCAAATCTATCAACATATGGTTTCAATGAACATAAATCAGTACCAAGTAGCATTGGTAACATATCAATACGTTTGTCCACCAAATATACAGAAGTACCTCTAGATGCACCTTCTGCATCTAACGGAGTTCCAGCTTTTACAAAATGAGTAACATCTGCGATATGGACACCAACTTCGAAGTGGCCATTTGGTAATTTTTTAGCATGTAAAGCATCATCAATATCAACACAACCTGGTGGATCGATACTACAAATTAATTTATCTCTTAGGTCGACTCTTTTTTGTAATAATGGATCCTTTGCAATAGCATCTTGAGATTTTAAGTCAACTGGAGCCTTCCAATCATGACCTTCCTCTGGTAAACATTCCAAAACCTTTTTGGAAAATGGTCTATATTCTACATCATGTTCTAACAAAAGAGCTTCAGTTTCAGCTTGGGCTTCTTCAACACCACCTAAATTTCTAACGAAATGACCTAATGGGAACTTATGATTTGAAGGCCACGAATCGATGGAAACAACGATTCTTTTACTTAATAATTCAGTGGCCCTTCTAGTACGTATTCTAATTTTAGGTAAGCATTTGTCCATTAAAATAACAAAAACATTTTGGGTTCCACCAGTTTGGGTATCTACAGAATTTGGAGCAATTTGACCAACATACTGTCTCCAAGATCTTCTTGGTATAGCGACAACTCTTGCAGTAGGTTGAACCTTGTTTGATTTTTGAGCGGTTATCGCATTTTCAGCCAATAATCTTCTTTGGGAATCTGCTATTAGATTAGCATCGACTTCATTGTCATTTTCTGGGTTATCATTAACATCATAATGTTCAGCGTCTAGTGCTACAGTTGAAGGAGCCTTCCATTGAGATTCTGGTAGTAGTTCTACAATGACTTGATCACCATTAAAAGCTCTATTTAAATTCTTTTGACCAACGACAAGAACAGGTCTGGAAAAGGAAGGTATATTTACAGAACCTTCCAGAAAATTATACTCTGAAATTTGTATATTACCTTGGAATAACGAACCATTTTTCAAACCACCCATAATTCTTGAAGTTGGATAAAATTCAGGATAACTAAATTCGTTAATAGATTCTGCGTCTTTATTATATTGAGAAGAATCCAAATTTGGCATTGATTCCTTTACCTCGTCAGAATTTGGTAATAATTCTACATATTCGTACAATGATTTAGTAATAAATTTTTCATCAGAAGCTGAAATTCTATTCAATCTATCATTTGAAACCAAAATAATTTTAATCTCTGATTTTGCTAAATGATCTAAATACCATTCACAAGTTTTCCTTATAGCTCTATCATTTCTATCATTGATTGATTCATCCTTCAATCTTTCTACAAAAGTAGCTTCGCTGAATTCGTTGTGGAAAACAATGAATCTCTTTTTACCATCACTATCTCTACATAAATTTCTCAATCTTGTGTAGACAGGATAAGATTTATTTCTGACTTCATCCAGGACAATTTGAGGAACAATGACGTCGAAAAAACAATTTGGGTTTTCCAATAAGTCAATAGCTTGAAGAACAATATTGGTGTCCAATACGGTATAATGTTTACCAATATTTTTTAAATCTTGAGGAGATTCAGATAGTACGAACTTTGGCAATTCATTTTTAGCATCAGGAACCACGATAGTAGGACATATGGAACAACTTCTAGATAAACATGGGATATCGTTTCTCAAGTAATGTTCTCTTACAATTTTAGTAGCACCACCATTACGAGATCTAACAAAAACTTTTTGAGTAACAGTTAACCCTTCAGATAGCCTTTTTCTACCACCTGAGACAGCACTTACAGACATTTCGAGACAAAATATGTGTAAAACCTTGCTGATTTCAAACTAATAGTAAATATCAATAATTAATTGATGTGTTTGACTACTTTGAGGACAACCAAACCGATTAGAACAGTCTATATTTCAATAATACTTCATCATGAATCTTTTATATATTCTACAGATGAAGTTAATTCGAAACTTGTTGTGCTTACAAATTTTTCGATATCTTGCGATGAGGTAATGTTTTACGAAGAATAGCTTGTAGCTTTGACTTGATAGTGTGCCAGAAAAGGAAGGTGATGGATTGTTAGCACTCTTGGGGAGGGGATAAGTAGGTTTGAACTTACTACAATATTAAATAAAACTATCAACACTGTTTGGTTCACTATCAAAAAGACGTTTATATAGGTACCATGGAATACTGATAAAACAGATACACTGTGTGTCACTTATCTATATACAAATAAATATTGACATGTTGATAGCGCCATCGAATAGTTCTGTAAAAGGTGCATACATTTTCTCTTTTTAGACCCTGTGAGTATCAAAACCCAAACCACTGATCTATGCTCTAATGTACTACATATCTGAATTCAAGTCACCTACCCACCTAAAGATATGGTCCATCGTATACATAATATATCATCATCATGAATAGAGACACAAACACATACACACACTCTTACCCGGCCTTTCCTCCATAAACCACGTGATATCCATCCTCCTCGTTTCTCTTGCCCCTTCCTTCCACCCCCTTCCAGCTTAAGAAAGTAAATTATATAAAGTTTAAAGGTATTAAAGCTAAGAACAATTAGGATACATCTAATGCAAACAAAGGACCAATTGTTCTGGTTATAACAACATTGGGATACATCTATCTGGTTCATTGAAACTGTTCGTTATTGGAAGTATTGGATTTGGGTTTATTTAAAAGAAGCTGAACTCTTGATCTTTGCCGGAGATATTATATTATATTATACTGCTGAGTGAAATAAGATTTATAATATTATAGAACATAATACAATATACAGTATACAATAAAAAGCATTTTACATTCTTTAGAAATTGTGTTTACATAAATTGGTTGATAATTGATTAAAAATGAGTGCAACTGGTAATATTATCGTCGTCTCTAATAGACTTCCAGTTACTATTAATAAGAACAAGCAAACCGGGGAATATGATTATACTATGTCTTCAGGTGGCTTGGTTACTGCTTTACAAGGTTTGAAGAAAGCTTCTACTTTCCAATGGTATGGTTGGCCAGGTTTGGAGATTCCTGATGATGAGAAGGAAAAAGTTAAAAAGGATCTGTTAGAGAAATTCAATGCTGTTCCTATTTTCATGAGTGATGAAATTGCCGATTTACATTACAACGGGTTCTCGAATTCTATTTTATGGCCATTGTTTCATTATCACCCTGGTGAAATTAACTTTGATGAAAATGCTTGGTTGGCTTATAATGAAGCCAATATGACTTTTGCCAATGAAATTGCCAAGAATATGAAATCTAATGATTTAATTTGGGTCCATGATTACCATTTGATGTTGTTACCAGAAATGTTGAGAAATCACATCAACAAGAATAAGAATACCTTGCAAAATATTAAACTAGGTTGGTTTTTACATACTCCTTTCCCTTCAAGTGAAATTTATAGAATTTTACCAGTTAGACAAGAAATCCTGAAAGGTGTTTTGTCTTGTGATCTGTTAGGTTTCCATACTTATGATTATGCTAGACATTTCTTATCATCTGTTCAAAGAGTCTTGAATGTTAATACTTTACCAAATGGTGTCGAATATCAAGGAAGGTTCGTCAACGTCAGTGCCTTCCCAATTGGTATCGATGTCGACACTTTCACTGATGGTTTAAAACAATCTTCTGTAATTAAAAGAATTCAAGAATTGAAGGAAACTTTTAAAGGTTGTAAAATTATTGTCGGTGTGGATCGTCTAGATTACATTAAAGGTGTTCCACAAAAGTTACATGCAATCGAAGTGTTTTTAAATGAACATCCGGAATGGATCGGCAAAGTCGTGTTAGTTCAAGTTGCTGTCCCAAGTCGTGGTGATGTTGAAGAATATCAATATCTGAGATCCACTGTAAATGAATTGGTTGGTAGAATCAACGGTCAATTCGGTACCGTTGAATTCGTCCCTATTCATTTCATGCACAAGAGTATCCCATTTAATGAATTGATCTCATTATACGCTGTAAGTGATATCTGTCTAGTTTCTTCTACCAGAGATGGTATGAATTTGGTCTCTTATGAATACATCGCTTGTCAGGAAGAAAAGAAAGGTCAATTGATCTTGAGTGAATTTACAGGTGCCGCTCAATCATTAAACGGTGCTATCATTGTTAACCCATGGAACACAGATGAATTGTCAGATGCCTTAAATGAAGCATTAACTTTGCCAGAGGAAAAGAAAGAAGCAAACTGGGAAAAATTATACAAGTATATCTCCAAGTATACCTCTGCCTTCTGGGGTGAAACTTTTGTTCACGAATTATACAATACAACATCAACAAATATTAAGCACCCTAGCAATCATTCCTCAAACTTATCTTCACGTTAACACAATTAGGAAGTAAAATGAAATCAACAACAATACAAAAAAATAAACAAAGACGATCACATTGCAACCACCACTGGTTCCACCATCCTCGATTCATTTGTAGTGTCTCTATTTAAATTATACTTTCTTCCTAATATTATTATTTTTATTCGTTTACCCTTTTATATATAGTATATAAAATTAGTTATATAAATATTTTTACATAGATTGTAATGCACCTGATGTCAAATACAACAATTACAATACTAAAACCAATACCACATAATCCATAACCAACAAGCAATAGCCCTGGTTGTATCAATTGATCTCATCAACTCATCATAAAAGAACCTTACTTTATATGTAACTTCACCTATATAAATGTTGAAATTGGTATATTTTACACTATAAGAAATAATGAAAAATTGTTACAATTAAAAGATGATGATCTTATAAGAAGTTAAAAGTGTTATAAGTTGGTTTAAATAGTTCATTGTTCTTGGTTCAAGATAGCAATTACAGATTGCTAACTCACTTTCGTTGTTTTTGTTTTTGTTTTTGTTTTTAGTTTAATTTAGTTATTGAATAAGACAAGAAAGACGTTGAAGGAGTTGGTTTCCCTGTATATTAGAAATTTTAACATGGGTCAATTATTATCACATCCATTGACTGAGAAGAGTATTGAGTATAATGATTACAAACAGTTTGCTAATTTTGTTGATTCAGATCGGAAGCTCATAACTCCAAGATTTTTCAATTGTGTTGGCTCAATGCAAGGCTATAGATTAACACAAGAGGATGCACATTTAATATTGAATGAGAATGGCAGTTCAGATAAAGTTAGGGTTAGATTCTATAATCCTTTTGAGAATAGAGTGGAATACTTGAAACTTACGATGTTTGGGGTATTTGATGGCCATGGTGGTAGTGAATGTTCGCTATATTTAAGTGGTCAACATCCACATTACCATCATCGTAATAATAATAATAGTAGTAGCAATGAAAGTAACTCCTCATCTGCAAAGGATGCTCATATGAGTGGTAAGCATTCTAGTCATTCTTACCATCAGGGGATTGCTAAATGGATTGTATATTGTTTCGAAAATCATGAGTATGGTGCTTATGATGTTTCCGTTGAGCATGTGGCATTTAAACGAAAGTTTAGAACTATTGAAGGTTTGATTTCTCAGATTATAAAAGATGCATTTATATTACAAGACCAAGAGCTGTATTCATATTTTGCCAAAAGTTCATGCGGTTCTACAGCTGTAGTTGCAATTATCATAAACGACAAAAATCTCTATGTTGCCAACACCGGTGATTCCAGATCCATTCTGTGCTCCAAGTCGGAAGGAATCAAAACAATGTCCTTTGATCATAAACCTCAACATATAGGTGAATTACTTCGTATTAATGATGGAGGTGGGACAGTCTCGTTGGGTAGAGTGGGGGGTGTATTAGCTTTAAGCAGGGCGTTTAGTGATTTCCAATTCAAAAGAAATGTTCAATATAATACAAATTCAAAAAAATCTCATTTATCTTCACCACATGAGCACACAAATAAAAACCTTAAAAACACAGGAATACCACCACAAGAAGCTCAAGTCACTGTTGAACCAGATGTTTTAATGCATAAATTAAGTTATTCTAGAGATGAATTTTTAGTCCTTGCTTGTGATGGTATATGGGACGTATACAGCAATAAACAGTTATCACAATTTATTAAATATTATCTAACATTGGGAATGAAACTAGATACAATAATGACAAAATTACTAGATCATGGTATTGCTCAAGCAAACAGCGATACAGGTGTCGGTTTTGATAATATGACAGCAATCATTATAGCGCTAAATAAACCTGGGGAGTCTCTAGCAGAATGGTATACAAGAATGAAATCAAGATTAGAACGTGAAAAGGGCCTACATTGAATTTAAAATCAACAGTTATTTGTAATTTTCCCACATATCCCCTCCTCTCATGGTCAATGATTTCGATCATCATCACCTCTTATTACCAAAATCAAACAAATTAAGAAGGCATATAATCAATAATGACGTTCATTTAATTACATTTACTAGACACATAGATTTACACAGTATATAAGTCCTTGTATATGACATAGTTTCTCAAAATGCATACCATCCATAGTTCTATCGTTCTATCATTGAAGCACATCTTGAAGTATTTATTTCATTACGGGTCTAAGCAAGAGCCCATATTGAAAAATGTCAACAACTAAATACCAAACTAGTAGCATATAAAGATATAACTCGATTGATATATAGATAAGGCTAGGTATCCAAAGGTTGACTATAGTTGATTGTCTGTTGTAGTCGGGGTGGTTTTACTCATTGTTTGTTATTTTGCATAAAATCTGTTGGTATGTCTGAGGTTGAACAAGAAGCTGATCTACAGCATTCTAATGAAAGTGAACAAAATGGCAATACTATATATAGTCATCCATCTGAGCTAGCTAAAGAATATACGTTGGATATCCCTCGAGTTCCAAGTATTGAATTTCCATTACACGTTTCTTCCAGTCCCTCTAGTATTAATAAAGCTATAAATATGGTTGGTGGTATTGATAAAGTTAGACAAGTATTAGGTGAACATGGTAGTTCTCAAAAACAATTGGAAATGTATCTCAATGAAGGACATGACAATGATGGGTCAGACACCTTTTTCAATGAACACTCTATTGTTGGGAAGGAAGTCCCATTTAGGGATGAATCTATTGTTTTAAAAATTACAGTACCCAAGGGTACCATGGCCAAATATAACGGTAATGTTAGAGAGGCACTAGCTATGCTAAAGCCAAAACAAAGTGCAATTGTCCCGGTTGTCATTATCAATAGTACTATCAAGTTCAGGGAGATGTCTGATTTCCAAATAAGGTTGGATAACGTACCATCTGCCAATGAATTTAAGGATTCATTTGGGTCCCTTGATTGGAAGAATTTTAAAAACTTTGTAAATTCAGTTCCTGATAATGATCCAAGACCATTCGAGAATATTAATAATATCAGATTAGATAGAAGTTCCCCATTCCCAAATACAGATTATCAATTACCTCCTCCTCCAAGATTTTCGATGGTCAGTTATCCATTTCTTTATAAATACAAGACTAATCCATTTGCAACAAAAAAATCAGATGGGGCAAGTGAAGTTAAAGGCTCATATATTAAGAACTATCAATTACTTGTGCATGACTTGAATGAATCTGTCGTGATTCCAGTGCAAGCAGATTCACAGCTTATGGTAGATTATAATGAAGCTGTTAAAACAGGAATTTATCCTGGAACTAAGAAAGAGTCGAAATTCTATGAATCGTTGGAGGAATGTCTGTCAATTATAAATAAGTTGTTTGAAAAAAGACCAATATGGGTTAAGAGACACATCGATGGTATTGTTCCTAAGCATGTTCATCATACATTAAAAGTAGCGCTAGCTTTGGTGTCATATAGATTTACAATGGGACCTTGGAGAAATACATATATCAAGTTTGGTATTGATCCTAGATCATCTTCTGAATATGCCAAATACCAAACTGAGTATTTCAAAATTGAAAGAAAGTTACTAAGATCTCCAAACATTGCTAAAAATGTGCCTAAACCGCCAGCATCTGTGTTTGAATCCGATGTACCTGAAGGTATAGATACAAGATTCAAATTTAATGGTAAACAGATTCCATGGTACTTGATGTTACAGATAGATTTATTGTTTGATGAACCAAATATTGCAGAAGTATATTCGAAAGTTGAATATTTGGATAAAGCAAATGAGCTCACCGGTTGGTTTAAGGAACTAGATTTAGCCAAAATTAGACGTATTGTTAAATATGAATTGGGTTGTATGGTTCAAGGCAATTATGAATTTAACGTTTACAAGTTAAAATATTTCAAGACCATGCTATATGCTAAGGAATCCATGATGAATAATGCCAAGGACAATGATGAGAGTACTACCAGTAGTATAAACGGTAGTGAAATGAGTACAGATACCACAAGTACAAATACTACAGAAGATGCATCGAATGGTAATGCTGGTGAAGTAGATTCAGATAATGACATTACCACAGGTGAAGCTGATGAACAGGTGCTTGAAAATGAAGAAGCAGAAAATGATCCGAATGTCAGTGTGAATCCAGCAGAAGACGATTATATGATGGATGAAGATGAAGATGAAGATAATGAGGGAGACTTTGATACTAAGACTGCATCATTTCAAGATATAATTGGTCGTATAAGGAACATGAACCCAGAAACAGCAGACCGTCTAAGCAAAGAGTTGGAAGGTTTTATTAACGAAGCAAATTTGTAATAGTAATTGTAGTAATAATAATGTAAGTGATATATAATCGTAATAACATGGATCAGTTATACAAGAGCCAAAAGAAGCATACCATCATGGTAAGTTAGGTATCTGGATATGAAGGGGCATTCCCTGCGACAAGCACAAGTTATCAATGATTAATTATCCAAAATGTAATTAGATATTCAAAGAGTTGAAACAGCAAAAAAAAAAGTTGTGGAGCAGACGATTGAATATATTAATAAATAAATAAATAGATAAATAAAAACATGTTTAAATTTCTATTTAAATTGGCAAGAAACGTATCTCTTCCCATATAAATAGGCATTACATAAGGAAGAAGTTGTAAGCATCAATGGCCAAACTTTTCCAAGTTTTAAAGCTTGCAATGAATTTCTACCTTGAGAAATCAAATAAGTAGTTGACCAAGCAGCTATGAAACCTGAACCACTCTCTAAATCGCCATCATAGATCATAAATGAGCCCAACACTTGAGATATACCAAATAATAAGGATATCTTGGTGGAAGGACCAATACGAGTTGGTTGACGAGACCACAGTTTCTGTATTAGATTAGTATTTTCCTTTGGGACAGTAGTTGTCACTTGGAAAGAAGGAGATACCCAAGGGGTCGATAGTAACATCAACCCATTGGTCAATGAAAGATAAGGTTTAGTATCCATTGCTATTGTATTCATTATACATGCTAATATATATATACTACTGTTACTTAATAATAAAAACGTAATGTTACAACTTTAAACTTTTCTAAAGGATAAAGTGAGTTATCATAAATCAATAAAACCTAAAAATTGTAGACTTATGATCTTTCACCTCTTAATCTTCTTGCTAATTTGATATCTTTCTTTTGGATGGTAACACGCTTAGCGTGGATAGCAGCCAAGTTAGTATCTTCGAATAGAGAGACTAAGTAAGCTTCGACGGATTCTTGTAAAGCACCGATGGCGGAGGATTGGAATCTCAAGTCGGTCTTGAAATCTTGGGCAATTTCTCTAACCAATCTTTGGAAAGGTAATTTTCTGATCAATAATTCAGTAGATTTTTGGAATCTTCTAATTTCTCTTAAAGCAACAGTACCTGGCTTATATCTGTGAGGCTTCTTGACACCACCGGTAGATGGAGCAGATTTTCTGGCAGCCTTGGAGGCCAATTGCTTTCTTGGTGCCTTACCACCAGTAGACTTTCTTGCGGTTTGCTTAGTTCTAGCCATTGTTATGGATGTGTATTGGTACTGTTATTATGTAAGATACAAGAGAAAATTAAAAAGACAAAACTGCAAGAATCAAGAAGTGAGAAACTAATGAAAAAATAACGAGCTTTTTATACAACGACAATGACAAACAATGACAATCCAATCCAGTCCAATCCAGTCCAACCTCGACGATCAATCAAACGTTCCCAGAACTTCAGCTCCATTCTGACATCTACCCATTCCAATTCTCGACAACGATGACAAATATCCATAGTAAACGGACGGATTTCGAACGGTCCAACTATGACAACTGGAAAGAAACAGTTCTGGTCATGCTTAGCCTGTTCCAGCAGTTTCACATCAACCAAACAGTGAAATATCCAGAACCAAGAGCAACAAGCAGCAGCTGATCCCAACGAAAAGAATTTTTGGTGTTTTTTTATTTTTGGCGACGAAAAAAATGAAAAAAAGACGCGTAAACAACAACAACAACAACAACAAACATCACCATTCACTGAAATAACTTGGATCAGATAAAGTATATAAAGGAGATGGAATGGATGGTTAAGAGTCCAGTTTGCAATTGTTGTGTTTTCTTTTCTCATTTGTATCTCTCCTCTGGAAGCACTACAAAATAATAACAATATAACACAACAAATATGTCTGGTAGAGGTAAAGGTGGTAAAGGTTTGGGTAAAGGTGGTGCTAAGCGTCACAGAAAGATTCTAAGAGATAACATTCAAGGTATCACCAAGCCAGCTATTAGAAGATTGGCAAGAAGAGGTGGTGTCAAGCGTATCTCTGGTTTGATCTACGAAGAAGTCAGAGCTGTTTTGAAATCCTTCTTGGAATCCGTCATCAGAGATGCTGTCACTTACACTGAACACGCTAAGAGAAAGACTGTCACTTCTTTGGATGTCGTCTACGCTTTGAAGAGACAAGGTAGAACCTTGTATGGTTTCGGTGGTTAAATCGGTGTATTTTAACTATATACTTTTATATTTGTATATTAGAACCCAATGTAATATTAGTCCTTACGTTATATGCTTTTTTTTTTTGTTTTTATTCACTTCCCAACGTAGTGTCTGCTCAAGAGCAGAACCAAAACTCTCTTTTTGTCTTGTATATATTTTTTTCTATTACTACATACTACTATTTATACATCTATGTTTGATTTGAATGGTGCTGGGGGTTGCCCAGTTAGTTGTCGAATCGTAGCTATATCATTACTGACTTCTTCGAATTGAAGACTGGGCAGCGGTGGTGCACTCTTGGCGCTGTACCTCTGGCTGTTCTTGGGTTTCTTCTTGCTAGATGTATTAATGTCCTTGCCTTCGCCATCACCTCCAAACAGCAGGTTGTGCAGTTCAGAGTGGTCGCTTATATATTGCATGAAATCCGAATCAGAGTTCACATCGGGACTCATGGCACCACCTGCGGCCCCTATGCTATTCGTCGTGGCACTGGTGCCCATAATGTTCGTGTTTCCTCCACCTCCAGTGGTCGAGTACCCACCGGTTTGGAAATCAGACTGTTCATCGATATTCTTCATTGCTGATCCAGTGTTTTTAGCGGCTACTCTTCTACGCAACGATCTCCTTTCAGTGCCTGTATCAGTGGCACTTTCATTTGCAGAATCTCTGTTGTTCAGCCCACTGGTGGCTCCTCCATTGTTGTTGTTGTTGTTGTTGTTGTTGTTGTTGTTGTTGTTGTTGTTGTTGCTCTGTTGTGCGAATTCTGTATTTGAAGAAGATTCCCAGCCACTAGCGGTATGGCTTCTCGTGTTCTTCTGAAATCTGGTTCTGTTATAGTCCATTGCGTATGAGTGAGCGTTTGCCACATCCATGAGCAGTCTTTCCTCTTGCAACGATTTGATTCTATTCTCTATCGATTCGTAGAGCTTTTCTTTGCATAGCTTGACCAAAGTCTCGTATTCGTTTTTGGCCTTTTCTATATCCTCCTGGAACTCGATGGAGGAACGAGAGATACGGTACTCTTCGAAGAGTCTCAACCGAATCAGTTCCAGATCTCTATTTTCTTCCAAGTCTCGCAATCTTCTCAAAAACTTTTTGTTGTTACCTTGGTGTAATGAAGTCAAATCCGTTTGCAAAGTGGTCAATCGATCCTTGTAGTGAGTATCTCTGTTTGAGACGAAATTCGTGTGGATTTTAGAGACTTTGCTCTCGAGGTTGTGTCTTCTCTTGTCCTTTCTAGAAACTGCAGTGAAATCAAATCAAAGGAATAAAAAATTGTATAGAATGATCAATCATTGTTAGTATTTGTATTTGAAGAAGGTTGGTACCACATGAGGGGGGAGAAGGGAGGGGAAAGATGGTAAATTGGTTTTTAATACATACGTTCAGCAGGGTTGTAACTATGTGACATCATTATCGTACTCGACTATCCTTGGTGAGTGTCTACTATCGCTATCCTATATAGTCTCTTTGTAAATGTTGCAAGGTTAATAAATGCAAATAATCTCTAATATGTGTTTTCTCTTTTTTTTTGAAAATAAGTCAAACTATATTGGGAACAGTTACACTCAATTACAAAATCGAAACTATTTCAACGTTCTTATAGCTCTAGAAGTATGTTTTTAAACCCAAACAGCAATTATATATATAAACTGTAAACTGAGTACAAATTTTCTTATACCATATATAACAAGATAAAACAAAATATCCTTTGAAATATCACAGCATCAATCAATCAATTAATCAAGACTTTGAAAGCGTGCACACGCAGCGCTACCACTGGCCCATTTTTTCACATATGTCCCTATCATTGCATACGTGTGCTTACTTCTGGTATGTGGATCTGAAGGCGCTCGAAAGGACACCTTACCAGTTGCAAAGTAGGGTAATTAAAATGTAGACAATCCCACATCGCCACAACTAGTGGGTAACTGAACTGTACTATGCTATACTATACTATGCTATACTATACTATACTATATATATATAAAAAGCAGTATTCAATGGTACACAGAGAAGAATGAATGCGTCTGATCTGGATATACAACTGCAATCGTTATCTCTGTTAAACATGGACTTATTGTATATAACAAAACAGAACAGAACAGAACAGAAGAGAACTTATACATATATAATAGCAAAAAACAGCCCTCATCTGTAAGAAAAGGATGGTTATTACATCTTAAAGAAACTATGGAATATCCTTGTCCTTATATACCCCTCCACCTAGTTGCCTTTTTACCCCAACTTTACAGTACAGTATCATGAACTTCTTTAAAGGGGGGGTCACGCCTTTTTATTATTTCTCTAAATCATTTGGTATGGCATCTCCAACTTTTAGCCGCCGCCCCTCCTCCCCCAATCCATTATCTCTCTCTCTCTCTCGTGCCTGCCTGTGTAACAAACAAACCTTCCCATAACGATTACCCTGCCCCCAAAAAAAAAAAGGAAACAATCCGATCCAATCTCACCAATCACTGCCCACGACACCCACACGTGATCAACTCCGGGTAACCTCGCTCTTGTTGCTGTATGTATCTTTTTCTCATTTTGGAAACAAGCAAAGGAAGAAAAAAAAACCGATTTGAACAGAATACCAACCAACAACCAATTTTGAAAATTGTAAACTATTTAAGAACTATCTTTACTGATTGAATTGGTTTTAAAAGCAGGTGTTAGGTACTTCACGAGACTCAAGGACTGTCAGAGTTTATTTTAAATACACGTTTGTGAGACTACTGTTGTATAATTCCTGGTTTTGCCATCTCTGTGATTCTCAATTGACTGAGAACTTTAAAAATATATACTGTTGTGGGTTGTCCTATTTCAAAAATCATATTATAATTTAAAAGCATACAAGAGATAAATATATAATAAAAAAAAAAATTTTTTTTTATCTATATCTTTGAATTTTAATACTACTATTTTGTTTTCTCTTTTTTTTATATTGAATTTCATTTTTTCCACTATTATAACTTTTTAACTTATAGAACAATGTCTGATAAACCTGTTGAATCCGTTCCAGCTACCGATGCTGAACAAGTAGTTGCTGAACCTGCTTCTGCTCCTGCTCCTGCTCCTGCTCCTGCTCCTGCTACCACTGAAACTACTTCTGCTTCCGCTCCTGCTGAAGGTGCAAACGAAGGTGAAGCTGAAGCTGAAGGTGAGGATGAATCCATTGTCCCTGCTAATGCCATTAACGGTGGTAGAGAAACTTCCGACAAGATCCTATACGTTGGTAACTTGGACAAATCCATCAACGAAGATATTTTGAAACAATACTTCCAAGTTGGTGGCCCAATCACTAACGTTAAGGTTATTAACGACAAAAACAACGAAGCCAACTACGCTTTCGTCGAATACTCTCAACACCACGATGCCAGTATCGCTTTGAAGACCTTGAATGGTAAACAAATCGAAAACAACACTTTGAAGATTAACTGGGCTTTCCAATCTCAACAAAATACCACCTCTGACGAAACTTTTAACTTGTTCATCGGTGATTTGAACGTAGATGTCGACGACGAAACTTTAGTCGCTGCTTTCAAGGATTTCAAGTCTTTTATTCAAGCTCACGTTATGTGGGACATGCAAACCGGTAGATCAAGAGGTTACGGTTTCGTCTCTTTCTCAAACTTAGATGATGCCCAAGTCGCAATGGATACCATGCAAGGTAGTGAATTGAACGGTAGACAATTGAGAATCAACTGGGCCTCTAAGCGTGAAAACAATTCCTCTAATAACTCAAACAGAAACGGTGGTGGTTTCAACCAACGTCGCCACAACAACAACGGTCCTCGTGGTAACAACAACGGTGGATTCCGTCCTTTCAACAACAACATGCCACCTCCTCCAATGGGTAACATGGCTCCAATGGGTGCTCCACCAACTGGGCCAGCTGTCTTACCTCCTGTTGATCCACAAGCTGTCGATGACATGATCAGAAGAGCTCCACAAAGAGTTACTACTGTTTACATCGGTAACATCCCACATTTTGCTACAGAAGCTGATTTAATCCCATTGTTACAAAACTTTGGTTTTATCTTAGATTTCAAACACTATCCAGAAAAGGGTAACTGTTTTATTAAATATGATACACATGAACAAGCTGCTGTCTGTATTGTAGTATTAGCTAACTTCCCATTCCAAGGTAGAAACTTGAAGACCGGCTGGGGTAAAGAAAAATCTACATTCATGCCAATGCCTCCACAAGATCCAAATGGTCAAATGCCACCTCATATGATGAACGAACAACAACTTCACGGTGAACAACAACAGGATCAAGGTGAACAAGAACAATCTCAAGAACAATCTCACCAATGATTTTAATATGAAAATATGCGTTAATTATAATTTGTGAATAAATTGTTGAAACGATAATGAATCCCCTGTTTCATTATTATTATTATTATCTTACCTTTTTCCTAAACTATAGAACTATAACATCTGTGTTTTTCCCTATCCCTATTATTATTATTACTACCACTACTACTACGTCAATGAACTATTTTTCTGTACATTATTAAATATTAATAACCTTCTATTGTTAGACTTTGAATAATGACACCTGTGATTGTACTGCTATAATTATATTACCTATATTTTTTTTACTAAACCCGTTTACTGTTGATATTAATTTTTGTTTTGAAGATATAAATAGTAATGTGATGAACTTTTTAAAATTTATACTGATTAAACTATTCACATGTAAATTATGTAAAAACATCTATCTAAGGATGATCCATTATCTTCCTGTTTTAGTCCTTTCTTAAATAAATATTTTATTACAATTAATCTCATCTTGTCTCATCTTATATCCATAGATCAACTCTTTTCAATATCAAGAAAAGCAGGCAACATCTTCAATATTTGAAAAAGGTTAAAAGCTGATAACAAGATAAAATGAATAAAAAAAGGCAACTAATCTGTTGTATTTAGGTATATAGTACTGCAAGGACAGGTTCTCTATTGGATAAGATGTTTAAGAGATGTTCATTAAGGGTAGGTAGCTTTTTGCCAAGATTTTTAGCGGTCAATACCACTAGACATCTTGTCACAAGACAGATTATGCTGCAAGGCACTCCAAAAGTGTCTTCAAGAATAAATATACACAAAAGATTCTTTGCAGATGGCTCCGCTGGTGGGTATGCAATTCCTGATGAAGTGACACAGCTACCAATTGAAAAGTATCATACATTGGCAGACACAGCATTGGATGATTTAACTGACCGGTTAGAAGAAATTAGTGAAAAGTTCCCAGAACAAATCCCAGATGTAGAGTTAAGTCAAGGGGTACTGACATTAGTGATTCCTGAATTTGGTACTTATGTGATTAACAAGCAACCTCCAAATAAACAGATTTGGTTGGCATCACCAATTTCTGGTCCCAATAGATATGACTATTATCAAGGTGAATGGGTTTCATTAAGAGACAATACAAAGTTGTTGGATGTGTTAAGAGATGAATTACAAAGAGCTTTACCAGATACCGAATTAACATTATAGCCCTGGAGCTAAATGTACTAGAGAAATTGTCATATATGTATAGCTGTATATTTATGCCATCTCTTATCCATTAAGATGTGATGATTTCTTTTATTCGTAAATGCAATAAATCTGTAAATATGTAGAAACTAAAAATCATTAATATATTATGAACTGCCAATTATTGAGAATGATAATCAATACAATTCCGATATCCACTGAATATTTGTTCAGCAAATGAAACCATATTGTAAAGTTGCGATAATAAACTTGGAATCTCTAAAATTTGTTCAATTTTATTAATTCTTCATATATCCCCCATGCAATACCTGCACTTAGTGCTTTCCTTGTTAGTCTCATACTCAACCCACTGAACAGTTTGAGGATACCTTCATTTTTGATGATCGATTTGAAAGTGAACCAAACGTTTGTATATCTTTTAGGTTCTAATTGCATTCTTGTCTTTATGGTATCGAATGGAGCAGTAATTGTAGTGGCCAAACAGGCAGAAAGTATGGCACTAGTGCTATTTACAAGTGTTGAGGTGGAAGTCAGGTAACTTCCATGTTTATCAAATTTAATAAATTTTCTTGGTAATAATTTTGGAACAACTTCTTTAGCTTTTTCATATAATAAAACATATATACCAGAATATGGGGCATCTCTTACTAAAGTTGGACCAAATCCACGGAAGAACCCTGGGATTCTTTCAGATTGATAAATATGCTTTACCGCTTGTGATAAGCTTGTATAACTATAAAGAGTAGATTCATATCTTACTTTTATCACTGTCACGGGCATTGTCATATAGCCAACTGCACCTCTAGCCAATGCACCACTGATTAAATTTTCATATGTGGTTAATTTTGGTAATAGACTACTCTTAGATGCCCCATCGTTATAGTTAGTCTTACTTTTAGCAATTGCAGTTCTCATCAGATTAAGTGAAGATAAATATAAAGCACTCCCTAACGAAGTTCTGATAGCAGATGGCAAAGTACCTCTCCATAACTCAGAGAACCCTTTGGAATTCTTCACTATTGACCAGATGCTTTGGCTCTGATGCTGTTGTATTCTAGTCTTCAGCAGATCTAAAGGTTGCAAAGCAACAGCAGAGGTTAGTCCACCAAAAAAGCCACCAATCAAATGAGTCCTAGTCTTTGTAGTATTAGCCATACTTCCACAACTAATCTGAAACAAACAGATTATATATATGTAACTATATATATATCGTTCCCTTGATAGATGTTACCTTTTACAAATCGAAACCTAAAACCTTCCTAATTATAGAAATCAGCTCTTCCTCTTAATATGTTGCAAGCTTTAACTGAGATCTAACCTAACTTCAAATAGAAAAGTCCTGTAACTATAGCAACTTAAAAAGATGATAAATATCTATTCAATAGCGTCAATGCTTATGATTACAACAACTTCTTCCACCTTTACCAGTTCTAAACCTTTATACATCTATATATAATTATTCATTTGGCTTATTATATCTTTTATATTTAGTATATAGAAATTTGGAGGGTTATTTAACGTTAATGGAGGTTCGTTATAACAGATGGTAATTACTTCTTGGTTCGACCATTTGGAATGAAATGTCAATGGGTTGTTGTCGATTGATATATTTGATGTTGGAGTGTTGATATGATTGCTGAAGTTTAATTCTGATAGATTATCGTAGTGCAGACCTTTTCCGATATATTTGATATAACATTCTTTGAAAGACCAGAGATGAGCAAATGATTTGGAGGTTGTTACTGGATTTGAGGATTTCAATAGTTCTAATTCGTCTGGGCAGAATATTGTGTGGAACAATTCTTCATCACCAATGTGATAATCGTTCGTGGATGCGATATCTATTCCAACTAATTGATTTGAATGAAGGTGATGAATGTGATGAGGAAGTTCTTCACTTTGGGAGTAGTATCTTATAGCAAACATCCCTACTAGTCTATCTCCATTAGACATATTGAATGCTATTCCTGGGGTTTCAGGTTTCCCATACTCATTGGTGGTGAAGCTTAATGATTTGAAATCTTTAATTTTATTTGGACTTAGGATAGCACAGCCAAAAATTTGCAGGATCCTATTACACAAGCTAATGTACTTTGATTTTAAATTTTTCTTGTTTATAACGCCCAATTGCCATGCCATAGGTAGTAATCGTAATGCTTGTTCAAATTCAAAGTCATCCTTCAGGAATTCAATTGCATCGTCACTGGTGTCTATGAGAATAACCAAACCATTGGCTATTGGTGTGTTGAGAAGCTGTTCAACAGACACGTCAATGAACTCATCACCGTTGTTCATAATTACAATAATTGTTAGATTGGAATGAACAAAGAAGTTGGTATATGTAAAGTATGACTCTTGGTTTTATTTAAACTATAATGCGTTGCTACAGCAAATAGGCTAAACCAGAAAAAAAGTGGTGGGAACTCTAAACTGTTGTGATATGATTCCAATCAGTAGTTCGAGTTAGTATTAGATTAGTTCTTTTGATAGTATTGTTATAGCATGCTGGTGCTTGCGATAGTTGGCTTCATTGGTGGCTGGTAATGACTAGTTTATTAATGGAATTGAAATGTACGACGCTACCAAATATATCATGTGCTAGAGAGAGATCAACAGCTTTTGATTCAACGTATGCATTTCTAGTTAAGACGGAACCATGAAACATATACATGGGGGCCATAGAGGACAATTATAAGCTACATTAAAACTTTCAAGCAACATTAAGTTCATACCATCTATCTTCCACTGAAAAGGTGAGGTCATCGAGTACCATACAAACGAAACATCCAAAATAGCAAAGGCATATGCTCTTTAAGATCTAAAATAATGGCATGTTGTGAATTGGAAAAGGTAATGACTGAGTAATGAATCTAATATTTTTGCCAAATCAATTCAATTGTTAAATGAGTTCCTGTACTCATCGTCTAGTCATCTGTAAATTGAGATTAAAATTAGGCAGCTATGATTCAACAGACTCTATCAGTGCTACTTATTCATACGAAAAATTGCTCAATTAGTTTCCAAAAATATTCAACATGAACAACATCTAAGTTGAATGGTCTTGATATATTGATGAGTGACAATTGAATTGATTACCATATGTTTTGTATAAACCTTAATATGTCTATTCCCTTTTTCACGTGATCAAGAAAGAAGAAAACTCACGTGATCATCTCCATTCCTCAATCAAGTCAAAATTACTCATCAATTGTGACCAAAATTTGTTCACAGGTTAATAAAAGAGAGTAACTTCATCGATGAGAATACGATGATTTGTTCTTAAAAGTTGGTGAAAGTTGACAATTTCAAGACATTAGGCATCCCATTGTATAGTCTATTCTAGTTTTTGAGCTGCTGATTGGTTTATTTCTTTAAATTTCTAATAGGGACAGAAAGAATTGACAGGAAGATAACAGACAATATTTGATATTAATTTATAAAAAAATAAAAAGGAGATTGATTAATCTGTAATTTAAGTATGTCTACATTTGGTTCTGTTTTCCGTGTCACTACATATGGTGAATCCCATTGTAAGTCAGTCGGCTGTATAGTTGATGGTGTTCCTCCTGGCATGTCATTAACTGAAGATGACATTCAACCTCAATTGACTAGAAGAAGACCTGGTCAATCGAAACTGTCAACTCCAAGAAATGAAAAAGACAGAGTAGAAATTCAATCAGGTACAGAATTTGGTAAGACTTTGGGTACTCCAATTGCTATGATTGTTAAGAATGAAGATCAAAGACCTCATGATTATTCTGATATGGATAACTATCCAAGACCTTCTCATGCTGACTTTACATATTTGGAAAAGTATGGTTTAAAGGCATCTTCAGGTGGTGGTAGAGCTTCTGCCAGAGAAACTATTGGTAGGGTAGCTGCTGGTGCAATTGCAGAAAAGTTTTTGAACCAGTACTCAAATGTTGAAATCGTTGCATTCGTTACCCAGATTGGTAAAATTAAGATGAGCAGAGATCCATTTGATCCAAACTTCCATCAATTGTTACAAACAATCACTAGAGAAAAAGTTGATTCTATGGGTCCTATTAGATGTCCTGATGCTTCTGTTGCTGGCGATATGGTAAAAGAAATTGAACATTATAGAGGTTTGAATGATTCCATCGGTGGTGTTGTCACTTGTGTAGTTAGAAACTTACCTGCCGGTCTAGGTGAACCTTGTTTCGATAAACTGGAAGCTTTGTTAGCCCATGCTATGTTGTCTATTCCAGCTTCAAAAGGTTTTGAAATCGGTTCTGGTTTCGAAGGTGTTGCTCTGCCGGGTTCTGAACATAACGATCCTTTCTACTACGATGAAGAAGAAAAAAGATTAAGAACAAAGACCAACAACTCCGGTGGTATCCAAGGTGGTATCTCCAATGGTGAAAACATTTACTTTTCAGTTCCATTTAAATCAGCTGCCACTATTTGCCAAGAACAAGAAACCGCTACATATGACGGTAAAAGTGGTGTTTTAGCTGCAAAGGGTAGACATGATCCATCTGTCACTCCAAGAGCTATTCCAATCGTAGAAGCTATGACTGCTCTGGTCTTGGCTGATGCCTTGTTATTGCAAAAATCAAGAGATTTCGGTAGATCAGTTGTTCATTAAATGCATTCCTAACCTTCACGTTTAAAGACCCTCTATTTCTCTCCCAAAATCATCCTATGCAAAATATTACCGTCAACCACTCCCCCATATCATCTATTCTGTATTATATTATACTTCCATTATAATATTCTCTATTTCATTATATAAGTATTTGGGATATAAAAGTTATATACAATTTTAATTGAAAAGTTTCTTAAATTAATTCATGGAAAAGTCAATTTTTGGACATTCCATTGACAGTAAACAATATCATAAACACAATCCTCTTCATTGTAATCATTTCAATCGCTATCTTTAATAACTCATCTTGGTGTCATTACTGTCACCTTATCATCTCATCTCATCTCCCATTTAAAGAATTGTATCACTAATTACGTGAAATATCTTGATATATCGATTTGAAAAGTTTATTCAAATTGAAACTTTAAATATAAACAAGACTGAACTAACAATGCAACTAAAGGAAACTATTTAAATAGAGCCTTTTGAGATTGGAGGGGTCAATTGAGGTCTAGTGGTATACTTCGAGGTATTTAAGAAGGGTTTATATAAAAATGGAGGTTGACAAGGACGTTTTATCCAGGGATTGCCTTGTTGAGTTTGCCAATGCACTAACCGATTATAGAATCGAACAATTTAATGATATAGAAAATGTTGATCCTTTTGATATAATTAGACAGTTCCGTTCTGTTATTGCGAAGACTTCACTTCAGGCAAGTTCAAATATTGAAGGTTTGGATACCGTTTGGAATTCAGATTTGGTTTTAGAGGCAAATTTTTGGCACTTAGTTGAAATTTTATTAAGTTTTAGGACTTCACAAGAGTTTCTTGATAAAGAAAGTTCGATATCATCAAAACCTTATAATTCCAGTATAATTTTCGAGAAAGAATTGTTGCAAAAGGATAAAAATTTATATCAAATTTGGTTAATTATAGTTTGGATTGAAGGTAATTTCCCATTTGTAGAGAAACCTAGTAATATACCTAGTTCAAAATGGACAAATACTTTAGTTACAAGTGGTCTAATGAGCTCAGATTTGGATTACCCATTGAGGGATTGTTCTGTGGTTATAAATGATAAGGACAAGGCAGATGATCACGTTTTTTACAAGTATGTCTATGAATTACTATTATGTGGCAATTATGATCAAATCTTCGAAGAGTGTAAGTTATCTGATAATATCACTTTAAATATGATTATGTGTGGTATGCAAGAATATGTTGATCCATCGATTGACGTACAGTTAAAGGATGAATTTGAGGTACAACAAGGTGTAAAAAAACACTCTTTATGGCGTAGAGCTGTTTATAGTTTATCGCAAAACGACAAACTAGATAAATATGAAAGAGCTATTTACAGTTACTTAGCTGGGGATATACCAAATGATGAAGTATTACAAACATTGAACTGGGATTCTGAATTATTGGTTTATCTAAACCAAATATTAAAAATCGAAGTTGAAAATTACCTTTTACAGAATGGAAAGGTAAATAATGATGAATTAATTTTATCGTTACCATCTAATACAATGGATTTACAATCTATATTAAATTTATTGTCAGCTAAGCATCCAGAAGAAAGTGAGCATCCAATTAGAGTACTAATCGGATCTGTTATGTTAAATACAATTCCTTCAGTTTTGCACTCTTCAGTTTCCATGCTGATGAACGTCGTTACTGGAATAGAAAATGATAACGATATCTTTGGTGAACCTTACTTGTTAAGAGTTGTTACACATATGACAATCTTCTTAGAAATTCTTAACCCAGGCACTATATCTGAATCAGATAAAACAAAATTAATTACTGCATATATTAGCATTTTAAAGTCACAAGAACTTTATGATTTAATACCAATTTATATCAGCTTCTTGAGCCACAATGAAGCTATTGAGGCTTCCTCATTCATTTTGTCAAACCTAGAGGGCAAAGACATAAGGAAAAAGCAATTAGAAATATGTAATTTCCTTAAGTTACCTGTAGAAGATATGTTAAAAAGAACGACACAATGTGTATTCGCAGAAACTGAATCTGAATATACACCTGTTGGTGACATAACAATTTCATTTGAAAGTTCTGATATTGATAGACATTTGATTCTTGGAGTAGATTGGTTAATTGAAGGAAATTTATATGAAGATGCTGTGGAATCATCAATTGCCTTATCAAGAAGATTCTTATTAAATGGTAAAGTCAAATCGTTGGAAATGTTTTTGGATGAAAAACCTATTGATGATTTATTAAAAAATTACCAACTCTCGAAAATACATGAAATGGATGTTGATAGTACAGAAGATACATCAGTGCTAGAAATACAACAATATCGATATCTTATCAACATATTTAAACAGTATATGGAATGGGAAAAGACAGTTAAATTGTTAAATTCAGAATCAAATATTCCAAGTATTATTGAAAAATTTCAAGAATTTTTCCAAAGCACATTTAAACTGATAAAGACATTTTTAGTAGATTTAACTGAAAATATTGATCATAAAGATCATGACATTTTATTTGAAATTAGAGCATTATACACACCATATTTGATAATGGAATTGCATAAAGGTCTCGTTGAAGCAGCATCATTACTAAGAATTCCAAGGTTTATTAAAGATGCTTTAAATATAACCAACTTAGTCGCTAACGAAGATGACAAAATTTATTTACTATTCCAATCAAGTGGTAAGTTAAAAGAATATTTGCAATTGGTTGCTCAAACTGCTACCTTAACTCCATAGATTAGATATTGGAAAGTACGATATATATAATCGATTTACTTTATAAGATATGTATTAATACTGAACAATTTAATCGAAGTTGTGATATATACTCCCTCTTTTGACCAGTCTCTCGATAAATAATCAATTTCGATATCATTCAGATAAAGGGTAAAACTGAATAGTTGCAATATGCCCATTAATAAAGATATAACGCATCCAATTTCTCAAGATTTTTTTCATTGATTTTTGTTGTGGCTCATAGTGTTGTTTTTATAATATTCCAATTTTATCCACTAAAAATATGTATTATAAATTATAAGGCTATTTTTAGTCATGTTTTATTCCTATAAAATAAAAGAGACAAATTATTCTATATTAGTAACAACAGATCTGTAATCTATTCTTTTATTCAAATTCCAATTTCAATAAGATTGTACTCTATGATATTTTGAGTTCTATAAGTGTAAATTTTTGCTTTAATATTTTGTTGACCCAATATGACTTATAATCAACAAAATATATATTTGAATAAAATTGATGTCTAAATTCATGCATTTTCAAGGAGTATACAAACATGTAACTACTAAAATATATTCATTATATGTATCTGTAACTAAATTGACTATAATTGTTCTTGTCGAGTTTTTATTTCCTTCCATAATTCTAAATTTTTTTTGGCATAATCTTTTAAGTATTTCGAATAGTTACGCAAAATTTCATTCAGTTCTTTCTCTCTTTCTTCAGAGAATTTGGTTAATCTATCTTCTTTAATTATTTTTGAAATATCTTCCAGATCATGTCTCGCTACCTGTTCAGATTCATTTAATTGTTCTATTTCCTTTATTAGATTTGCCATTGTCGTTTGAGGGTCTTGTTCTTGATAATTGATGGTCTCCTTTACCATAGCTGCAATTTTGTTAAATCTGTTTAAAAACTTTCCCCCATAGGAAGATGATTGTGACTTCGAAGCTTGTGGCTTTTTTACCGAGGATTCATCATTACCAGAAGCACCAGAAGCAGTATTCCCATTCCTTGGTTGGACACCTCGTTGAAGTTCTAATTTATGCAATTGTTGTCTTTTGGATTCTAACGAGTTGATTAATATCTCCAATTGGACTCCCTTTAATTTTCTATATTTTATTAATTCTTTTGCTGACCCTGCCATCCTCACAGATTCACCCAAAGGCTCATTTATATTATAATATAACAGGCCTACCAAAGCTTCTAAATTGGATGCAGCATCGTCATAGGCGTTACTCATATATGTTAGCTGCTCCGCCAATTCAGCTTCACAAGCTTGAGCACTAGCGAAATGGGCAAATGTATCCGATAAGTCTTTCATATCATGTTGCATACCATAAAGTGATTTTGTTATTTGTGTGTTATGTTTATAAAATCCACTTTTTAACAGACTTTCGTATTGTTTATGTTCTTGTTCAATGATGTCAAAACCATCTTTTCGTTCAATCGTCTTGGTATCTGACACTTTTTCTTTTGAAGGTAAGATATGAGAAGTGGATGGAACTGGTAGGCATGCATGTATTCTTGTTGTATTAGTAGGATCCAATGGATTACACTGTAAAACACTTTTAGGTAACATCGAAAATGTTGCTGAACTGTTAATGAAGTCATTCCAATTTATATTATTAGGATCAAGAAAATCATAGATAATGGGAGTTTTTAAAATTTCTTCATCTTGTAATAACTTGTTCAAAAAACTTGTCAGCATCCTAATTCTATGTCGTATAAGTTTTTCATCATTATTTGTAACTGTACCATTTATAACTGATAATACCAAATCAACAGAACCAGTGCCTTCTGAAGGCAACAAATAATTAGATTTTGATCCGGCTATTGATTTACTATAATTCTTCAATGTTTGCTTCTCTGGAATGGGTGGTAATAAGCTGGTTGGGAAAAGTTTCATCAAAACACTCCTTAAACTCTCAAAATCGCTATATCTCCTTCTCACAGACTGATCACCCCATTTGATGGTATAGGCTACATATGCCCTTCCTTGACCTTCAGAAACTTTGTTGGCCTCCAATATTTGAACTCTGTCATTAATCAATTTTATATCAGGAATTATACTTTCTTTGACTTTTTGATCTACAGTATTGTTCGCATTATCCAAGCCAACCGCCGTATCAGTGACTGTGCCTTCTTTATCCTCAACACTAGCAGTTACAACATCATTACCGCCATCAGCTTCAGTGGAAACTATACCTTCAGTGATGGAAGTATCAGGGGCAGTTGCAGTTAAAATCTCTTCATCATTATCGCTATCATTGTCTTTATACTCTGCGTTCGGATTAACTACATCTGTCAATTTAGTAGCCGAAGTATTAGCCCTAGTAGACTTGAAAGATTCATCATCTTGATCTAAAAATGGGTTATCATCCCCATCTATCCTCTCATGTATATTACTCTGATGCATGTCACTAGTATGAACACTTGCTAACGATTCTGTCAATTCTTTACTTTCTTGCGTACTACTACTTCTGCTACTACTGCTATTTCTGCGTTTATCCATAGAACTATTCCCAGGTGCGATCAAATCACCATCAACACTCGACTGATCGGTAATCCTCTTACCTGACCCAAACCTATTCTTCTTTTGCTTCATTTATACCTTTAATAAGATGCTTTGCAAATTAAACCTTATCTAAAAATCCTTTAGACTTACTTATAACTAAATCCCCAAAATTTAACCGTATAACTTCAGGAAAGAGTTAAAACCAACTACAAATCTCAACAAATTTAATAAAATTATCCAGAAGTATCACCAATTCCTCTATAAATCCCTTTGTTGACCTTGGAGACTTCAACTTCTACTGGTACCTTAAAACATAATGAAACTTTAAATATTTTGAAGGTTAACCATTTATATAAAGAGGCCCCATCTTGAAAAATTTTTCTAAATTAAGCTCATCACTTAGAATAGAATGTTAGATGCAAACAAGGAAAAGGAGTTGAAGGAGTTTGAATTGGAGTTTGTAGAGGTAAGAATTGGGATTAAAGTGGGTAGTTTTATAGGTATATTCAATTTTTAGTGAGGAAATATGTCATCTGTTGGTGAGATTATTGAAAAATATTTAAGCATCAAACAACAGTTGAAAGTAATTGATGAATCTTTGAAGAATGGCCAATTGGAGGTTGTATTAGAGATACTGACGGTTAGTGATATTGATATTTCCAATCAGGGCAGTTTAGTGGGGAAGTTATTTGGGATTGTTGAAAAATCTATTCGTGAAAAATTGTTAGATGTTGAAATCGATGATTTCAATGTTAACGAACATACTTCTGTGGTCGACGAACAAGAGATACGTATATTGGCTCAATTGATTGCAAAGTTGGATCCATTATGGAAGTTATTCGAGAAATTTAGCTCTGATATAATATCCAACTACATTATTGAAAACTCAAAGAAACTATTCGATCATGAATACTATTCTAAACAAGTTGTCACTGGTTTAATTACCGATAGAGAACACGATAACGGTTTGAATTGTCCAAGTATTGTATTATTATTGAAGTTGATTGAAATTGTATACGTTTTTCGTGAAGAAGAGGAAGGGACTTTCAAATCACAACATCTAAATCCTCTTCTAATTGCATTATTAAATAGCAACATCGAAATTGTATCTATCAACGCTTCCAAACTAATGAGATGGGCTACCGAATCAATTGCCATTTCGTGCAACAATGAACCTGCATTTGATTCTTTCACTTGGAATACAGTAAGATTATTGTTTAATGACAGAACCAATCATGATTGGAAAGAACGTAACGGTTTAACTTTTTCACTAAGATATTTGTCAAATAATAAGATACAGCAATCTACCAGTTTTATCTCTTATATCAAGACTGACTTATATTGGAGAAATCTACAAAATGCATTGAACAGTGATATCCATGAATACAGGAAATTGGGTTTATCTGTTTTGAAATTATCAATTCAATTGCTAAATAAGGGTTTTGAAGAATTTAGTGTTACTTCATTTACTTGGATTCCAAAAGAATCTAATAAAATCATATCGATGTGGCAGAAATTTACTACACTATATGAAATCATCGCATTAGACACTGCATTAAACCAATTCGAAGCTGCCAGCTCCGATGTACTAGAAATTTTTGAAGATATCATTATTTATCCTGGCTGGTCAATGATTTTAATCTCTACTGGGTTGAAGGCTACAATGGAAAGTGTTCGTAAATATACAATGTCTTTAGTATTCAAAATTCAGAACAAATTAGTTTTTTCTTCTAATATCGAGATTTTAAAAGAAACAATTTTGCCTTCAATTATGCAAGCCCACTATTATAATACTGAAGGCGAATCTTGTGAACATGGTGATAAAGTTGTCAATTTTATCAATGGATTAGTAACAGATAATAATGATAATAGATCCACAATTATCGACACATTATTAGATATTCTTATCGAACAAAGAACATCCTTCGATGCATCAAGGATATATGTTTCATACGGTATTTTGACAGCTTTAAAGGGAAAATTATCCAGAATTTTGAATTCATCTGATTTGAGTAAAATCAGAAAGTTATTTGAATTTGAAAGTGAAGAAGAAATAGCTGAAATTACCATTCAAACCATTTTCTTGAAATTTCTACTTCATACAAATAATGAGATTAGCATTATTGATTGGATAAGCACCATCGTTGCCAATGTCAATTGTAACAATGGTTCATATTACTATATTTCCATTTTATTAGAAGATTTTAAAGATTATGCTATAACTTATTTCGAACAAGCTACAGCAGCTGATCAATTATTTCCTCTAATAAATGAGAACCCGGTATTTGACCTATTTGCAAATATTTTATTCAATATTCCAGTTCCTGCTAAGATGGACTTTATAACTGAATTGTCAAAAGCTGGTGAGGCTTCAGATTACTTCAATGAATATGCTAGTGATATTTTATTAAGATTAGCAACAAATAAGGCAACTGAAAAGGAATATGAGAATTCTTATTTACTTTGTCAATACAAGGGTTTCAATAGCAGTATCTGGAACATCTTGGATTTAAGTTCACTTTATGATGAAATTAAAGAGCAATTTACAGTAGAAAAATTCAAATTCTTTGTTACAGCATATGGCCAACTGGTTCAAAATTCTATCGAAACCACTTCTTGTCCATCCTCAGAAGTTTTTGAATTATATAACACAATCAAAGAACATTTGAATCTGTATGGCCAAGATCAATTCAAGTTGAAGGATGAAACTTACAGTTTCTACTTTTCCTGGTTGTTACATTATTTCAAAACTTATGCGTTATCATTCGAAGAGAATAACAATGAACTAAAGTTATTAGTAACAGTTATGGCAAATAATTTTAATGTTGATAATGGAAACTATATGGCTAACTTGAAAATTGTTGAAGTATCGAAATACCTTTTGGAAAATTATGCTTATGTTCAAGATGGAAAATTGGTAGATAACGGTGCTTTTTTGATCGATTTATTCAGATTGAATGAATCTATTTGGGAAAATATTGTTAGCGAAAGATTAGTTTTGAAACAGAGAGAACTTCATTTACTATTAATCGAAACGCTATACCATCCAATAATGTTACTGAACGCCTCTATTGTTGACAAAGAAATGCAAACATCGATCGAATCAATTGGTCTTGAGATTGTTAAACAAGGTTATTCAAGGAGAGGGTTTTTACCTCTTATTACTTTTAACATATCACAATTCCTATTAAAATACAATAAAATGTTAACAGGTCTAAATAGTAGCTTCTGGTGGTTAACTAAACCCATGCTGTCATCATTCACCCAACAACAGATGAACTTCAATGTCTTCAAATTGAAAACGACAATCGCAAAGTTGTATGATGAGCATCTAGCTGGTTATCAATCTAAGGGGAAAAATCTTTACGACCAAGTTTATGGTAAGCCAGAACTTTCAGCAAGAGTATACCTAGTGGATGGTTTTCTATCAATGCCACCTTCCATTAAAGAGGAGTTTATCGAGAAAGTTGCTACTGAAACTAACTTATTGGTGCCAATAAAGAGAACTGATGGTTCAGAGGCGCTAGAACGTCTATTTCAATGGGAATTAATGGTGGCTTGCATGTCTTCAATTTCAAAAGAAAAATTAATTTCATTATCTAACACGTTTGTTCTAGATAGCATTGTCGATGAAAGTTCACCACTGGTTAGAATTTACAAAGAATGGTTTATAGCGTATGAACTAGTTACCAATTATAGCAACACCTCCTCCTCCACTACGGAAGACTATTTATTTGATCATATGATCAATCATAGCAAGCCAATTTTGGTTGTTAGTGTTGAAAGAATCATCTATATTACATTAAAGGCATTATTGGATCAAAATGAATCCAAATTTGATAGACTTCTAAACAGATTCATTAGTACTTTGTTGCCGAATGCTTCTTCTAACAAGCCACTTGTAAGACATTTCTCAAATTCACTGATGTTATCCTTCTGGCCTGCTTTTGAATCACTAATTAGTGATGTAACACTACGTGCAGTATTAGAAGGTCTTTACAAAAACTCCAAGAGAACGGAACTAACCGGTCAGTATAGGAGTGGTGATGCAAATGTATGGGAATTAAAGAAAGATTTGACCTTAACAAATGTTTTTGGTGTTCTTTTAAGAAAGATTACAGACCATGAGCCACCATATATTCCTGAAGAATTATTCAGCAAATATTTAAATAATAAGACTGCGATTTCCATTGGTAAAGATGAGAAGTGTAAATGGTTAAAGAAAAGGGAAAACCTCACTCAAACAAAAACACCTGAAGAAATTGAATCCAAAACTACCCAATTGCAAACTAAGAGTGGTGCTTGGGAAACAGTTTTAGATATCGATTCTGAGAAGTCAGATAGAAGTGTAACACGTTCTGACTTGATCGTTGTATCCTCATTAGTAGACAAGCCACCAAATCTAGGTGGTATTTGTAGACTGTGTGACGTATTAGGTGTAGGATTATTGACTGTGCAAGACATTAGAGTAAAGAACCATCCACAATTTAAGAATGTTGCCGTCACTGCCGACAGATGGATGCCAATGGAGGAAGTTCCAATCGATGGAATAATTGAATTCATGAGAGCAAAGAAGAAAGAAGGTTACACACTAATTGGTCTAGAGCAGACAGATAAATCTATCCAATTGAATAACAAATATACATTTCCGAAGAAATCATTGATTCTGTTAGGTACAGAAGCCCATGGTATTCCAGGTCATCTGTTAAGCGAACTTGATTTGTGTCTAGAAATTGAACAACATGGTGTGATCAGATCCATGAACATCCAAACAGCCACTGCTGTCATCGTATACTCATATACCGTTCAACATATGTAAAAAGTCAATTGCAGTTCAAATGATTTTTCTTTACTTCATGTTGTCATCTAACTTTCAGAAATTTGAGAAGGGACAGTTTTAATATATTACAATATTTTAAAGAAATATATACATATTTATATCCAGATTTTTTATAGATTTTAATTTTAAATGTATCAGTACCAGAAAACCATCTTGTTAGGAACCCTTAATGTTATCTTATTGGATTTTGTTCATCGTCATCGTTTTTCTTACTATTGAAGTATGACGTTCAAAGGATTTCATATGAAAAATTCAGTTAACATTTAAAAAGTTGAACTGGAAGAAACAGAACTAATTTACTTGAAAGAAGTTGTTTAAAGGTTTGGAGAACGTGAGATATTCAGTGACAATCAAACATATTGAAACACTATCGAAGATATACTAGGGATTGCATTGAGTTTTGTATTATGTTGAGGGATATCAATGACCTTTTAGAAATTTCTTCTAGGATTAACCAAATCACTAAAGAAAGAGATGAATTATCTAGAAAGGTACAGAATGCCAATGGTTCTCAATCGATAGATAATGGTGAATTAGAGAAATATCGAGGCATATTAGATGATATTACATCTCAGGAGTTGTCACAAGAAAATATTGAGGAATTGAAGGGCAAATATGGTAATTTGCAAGTTTTTATAGAACTAGAAACCTTAATAAACGAAAAGGTCAAATCAGAACTTAACCTCTCAGAATTAGATAAAATAGACGATATTATCAATACATTGATTATTGATGGATTTGTAGATGTGGAATACGAGAGAATTGAAGATTTGAATCAACAACTGCTGAAGATTAAGTCTTCTTTAGAAAATTCTAATAATGAATTGGAGAAAAATCGTACTGAAAGTGTAATAATTAACTTTAACGATTCATTATTGGCAAATATAATCAATCCATTAAAGGAGGAATTTGATGGAGTATTGTTGGAATCTAAATGGGATACGAAAGAGTTTGTACCTGCATCAACAATGGAAATTTTAAAATTGCGTAAGATGTCAACCAATTTATACAAATATGCACAACTTTATATCGGAAAAGACATTGAAAGAAGATTGGTTAGTTTTGATTCGATTGCCCATAATTTTAAAGTTAGATTCACATTTCATTTCCATGAATCATCACAAATGAAGATGGAAACATATTTTGAATTCTTAAATTATTATATTTCAGAGAATCTGTATAAATGTATCAACATATTTTATGATACTCCTAATGGTATTTCTCCTCAATTAGTGCACGAACAATTTATTAACCATATTTTACAACCCATCAGAGAAAAGATCAATGTATCTTTATCCTCTGAGAAGGATTTAAGGACTGTAGTGAGACTAATTTCGCAAATCTTAGCCACAGACAAGAATTTATGTAATAATTTCCAATACCAAGGTGTCAGTTTAGCATCATTGGTCAATGCGAACATTTGGGAGAATTGGGTTAAATATCGTGTTGAAGTCACTAATAAACAATTTGATGTCATAACTGAAAATCCAAAATTATTGAAAAATTCTAGTAACGATTTTATTACGTTGTTAAACAAAGTTTTAGAATACCTTGGTCCATTCTACGAACTTGACTACCAACCATTGGAAACTTTCAAATTACAAACATGTTCACAAATTTTTTTAAATTTATCATCGAAATATTTAGAATATGTTTTAGTAACAGATTACCTAGGCGATGAATCACGTAACAAAGAAGATGAATTGGTACAAACCATTACTAAACTTGAATGTTTAAGTCAAGTATCACGTAAATTGAAAGAAATATCCAAGAGGGTCACATTTATCAGACTGACCGATACTGTTAATCAATCTGAATCACAGAATTTCACATCCATTTATCAAAATACCATCCATGATTACGAGAAAAACATCAATGATGATATCAGGGCATCCATCATCCATAGAATTCAAAAAATGATTAAAGAATCTTTGAAGAATTATTTTAAAATTTCAAGCTGGAGCAGTACAAATATCACAAGTGGCAGCGGTAGTATAGAAGATATTTCAATTTCAACATCATCTGAATTAGTAAACTCAGTAAGATTATTAACAAGGTTAATACATTACCTGGACACTTCAGAAATCCAAACCAACATAATACTATCAATAAAACACGAAATATTAAATAGATTAGTGACGTACTTCATCGAATCAATATTGAAATTAAATAAATTCAATCAATTCGGTCTATTGCAATTTGAACAGGACTACAACACACTAAAAGAATCAATAAATCTACCACAAGATACAATCAACTACGATGACAAACTATTAAACGAAACATTAAAAATATTGAGATTGAAATACGATTCAAATGCTTCAAATTTCATTACAAAGCAATATATCAAAAATTCCAACTTCAACGATCTGAAAGCTTATTTAAGCCTATCAATTCTAAAAGATACTGATATAGTAGATGCATTGTATAGAATAACTTATGGAAATATCATATAGTAAGTATATACCAAGCTTTATACCTACAACTTCATATCTTCTGTCTGTCTGTCACCTCTTTCTAATTTTTTTTTCCACTTCACTATGATGAGGCTCTTGATATAAGAATAGGAGGTTCTTGACTAAGGAAAAAAAAAAGTTGAAGATTAAATGTTTCAATGCACAACGAACAGCATTTTAAGAAGGATAGGTTAGCAAAGGTGGTGGGTGAGAAGCATACCTGTGTGGATTAGTATTTATATTGGTTGAAGAGTTTACAGTTTGAAGTATAACTTGTTGTTGTTGTTAGTACCATCAGGACTTTTGCTTTTAGAGTTTGATTTGAAAAAGGACAGCAGGGGCTTCTTTAAAGTTTTGAGCACTAGTTACAGAAAGCTTGATAAATCCAAGTTTGAGGAAAGGTTAATAGAATTGTTTGGTAGTTTAGTATCGGTAGTTTTATTTTCAAGAGATATCAAGAATATTTGGGTATTCCATTTACATATATATCTTACTTGATCAGGATATATTTTGGAGTCTTTTCTTCTTTGACTGGGAACATAGAGGTGTCGTTTCTTTTTATTTCTTTTTTCCAGGCTCATATTAAGCTCAAATCGAATAAAAAGTTTCAGCTTCAACATCATTGTTATAAATACCTATTGGTTATTTGTTTTAAGTGAACTATATTTCCATTGCTGGTATCGAATATTGAATAGTTCTTTATTCTTATCACTGGAGGGTTTATCTTTTTGTTTTATAGTTTGATTTTGACTTTTGAGAAGGTTGACTATGAACAGCTTTGGTTTGGTTTCCCTTGCATTGGTTTTTCTGGGACTCCAGAACAATGTCAACGTTAATGCAATGGTTATCAAAATAGGTGACGAACCTGTGATCAACAGTAGAGATAATCAGTTTAATGAAAGACCGACCGATTATGAGTTTGATAAAATAGATAGAGATTTGATGATCTTCTCCTTTATTTTCATGGTTGTCATCTACATTTGTCTATCGCTTATATTCATTGCCATTAGATTCGTTATAACTCGAATAGTCACCAGACATGCACGTATATCTTTGTTAGCTGATGATTTGGAGAATAACAGACGTCCAAGTCACCGTCGCAGAAATACAGAGGAAATGTTGAGCAGGTGGCCTAACATTTTGGATGATGAATCTGAAATCGGTCCAAGGTTGTCAAAATTATCACCAGAAGAACAATTTTATTATAAACAAGGTGAAGAATACATAAAGCAAAATCCACCGTTAATCATCCCACATAGTGGTTCAAACAGTAATGATATAGTAGATCCGATAATTAACGATGAAACTTTACAATTCATCGAGGAAGAAGGTGCTCATGCTTGGGAATTCCAACCTGATCCAAACCTTCCAAATGATGCTATTATTGTTGATAATAAGACAGAATTAACCTTCTTGAATTATGACTTCGATGTTTCGGTGTCTACAAATTTACCAATACCACGCATTAATAGAGTTTACTATTGTGAATTTAAGATATACGAAATTAATAATGATACAAGTAGTAGCTCAAATTCTTTAAATGATGATGAGGTAATATCTTTTGGTTTATCAACTTCACCATACCCATACTTTAGATTACCAGGAAGACACCATCATTCCATTGCATACGATTCCACTGGCGGAAGAAGATTTAACGATTCTTTTGAACTGGAGCCTGAGTTAGCTTCTCTATTTCCTCGTTGTGAAAGGGGTGATGTCATAGGTATTGGATATAGATCAAACAGTGGTACTGTATTCTTTACTCGTAATGGTAAAAAGTTAAATGAAAAGTCAGTTGGTGGTCATATTAGAGGCTGGAAATTTAAATATTTATATCCAATAGTTGGTGCAAATGTACCTTGTAAAATTCACGTTAATTTTGGTACATATGGGTTTGTTTTTATTGAAGCTAACGTAAAGAAATGGGGATATTCTAAACCAAATGGTCTAAAATTACCGCCACCATCTTATGAAGAATACGGTCACGATACTTTACTTGAAAGTGGAGGAGAAGATGAAGGTTCTGATTTAGACAGCTTATCTTCTCTTACCGACAACTTATTAACGAACTCTACTGGTGATTTATTACCTCCGCCTCCTGGTTTTGAGTATAGTACATCGCCAAATGCATATTCCACTAATGAAGAAATTACATTACACACTTATCCAGTCGAACCCCCAAGCTATTCAGATGGTGAAGTTGATGGATCAACGAATCCAAGAGTTGAAACATTCAACGAAGAAAGAACTTATAGCGATACAACTGCATTATTGCATGACGATACTAACGAAGACAATTATGAATCTGAAATTGATGATGAAAGAGAATACGATGAAATGGATGAAATAGATGAAATGGATAATACACGAGAAAATACATTCAACAACCAATTTATAGATTAGTTGGTTTTAAATTAATGACTATGGAACAATATTATTTACATGTATAATGTTACTACTTGGGATAAGTTTTTAGGAAAAATATATCAAGGATTTAACTCGAAATGATGAGTTATGAGAAACGTTATATTATTATGCGATATTTATAAAATATAAATTATTATATACTATTATTAATTTTATTATTCATTTTATTGTTAATATTATTATCATTATTATTATTATTATTACTATTATTACTATTATTATTATTATTATTATTATTATTATTATTATTATTATTATTATTATTATTATTATTATTATTATTATTATTATTATTATGATTATTATTGTATTCTTAATTATATCATATTATGTTTGAAACAGGAAAATATTTGATTCTTGAGAAATAGTTGTTATAATCCGACTATTTTAATCGGATCTTCAATTCTAAGAAATTAACCAAATAAAATACATTTTCGTTTACATCTAATTAAATCGAGGCTCGTAGTAGACGTAGCAAGATGAAATATTATAATTAGAACCACTTATTATTTGAATTTAAATTTTCATGTTGATGCATATCTTGTGGACTTTTCAGGAATTCAGGAGTATTCACTAATGGTATATCATGAGACATTGGGAAACCTGTACCATGGTCATCCTGATGTTGCACAATATTGAGATGAGGATGATTCTTTTCATGAGTGTTGTTATTAATAAAATTATACGTTCCATCATTTGTATTTGTATTTGTATTTAATAATTGATGTGGATCGTGTTCTTCAAAAAAGAACGAATTGCCGAAATGAGAATCACCACTTTCTGTACCTGTACCTAGTGGATTCGGTATTTCGTTATTCAGATTGATCGGATGCTGTTGTATTCTTTCATGCGTTGTACTATTATAATCCAGGATTAGAGAATTCATAAATTTCAATGAATCTTGAATACCTTTTAAAGAATGCGGTATGTTTGAACCCCCAGTGAAAGCATCACTTACCTGTTTCCCTTCTGAGAAATCTTCGCAAATAGACCATTGGTTTGATGGAGAATCATAATCACCAGAAAGGAAATGAACAGCAAAATTTGGTGATCTTGATAGAGAAAGTTTCAATTCCCCGAGTTTTGTATCACTATCGCTTTCATCGCCAGTGGTAACGATGTCGTCTGCCTCAAGAACCAACGAGCAATTCACGACTGTATTTATTGGGAAAAACACACGGAACAAAATTCTAGTATCATTAGCCATCGCACTAAAGAAGTAATTTATTTCATAATTTTTTTTAGAGATCAATACCAACAAATCGGTAGAATCCGACATGAGCTCATTGATGGAGAAAGGAGATAGATTTGCCAGTCTGGAAACTGTCGGCAGACTTTCCTTGGTCAAAGAACCACTTTTCATACGGTTCCAACTACCGACAGTAATTGAAAATATGTCTATAAAAGAATAGCTTTTGTTAGCTTCTAGAGGTACTCTATCGAAAAACGTCGAGACGGTATCTTCAGAGTCATCGTCGAACCCGTCACCGTAACTTTTTATCCTTGTCAAATCCGTATTTGAGTTTTTACCCAACTTATCTGATTTTCTAACTTTAGCTCTTCTATTTTGAAACCATATTCTAACTTTTTTCTCGGATAAACCTGTTAATTCAGAAAGAACTTTTCTACGTTTTGAAGTAGGATTTGGGTTCAAATTAAACTCTGACTTCAAAATATCCAAAGCCTCACCCCTAGCTCTTGTCCTTTTCTGTTTCTGTTCCTGTTCTTGTTCTTGCTCGCCGTCAAAACTCTCAACGAGACCGTTACTTTCATCCCTACTGTAATCCTGATGAATCTTTGAAGGGGAACCCTCACTGTGGAAATCGACGTCGCCACCATTCAAAGGCATCCCATAACCAATCTCTTTAACATCACCAAACTCATTCATAAACGTCTTGTGACCTGGCAATTGAGGAGACACCAAACCATTCAGCTGACGCGTCATTGAGTCCAACTGTACCTGTCGTTGCAAAGGATGCTGTCCACTTCCATCCGACTGATCACCACCCAACACATAAAACTCATCATAAATAGAATGAGAACCAACGTCCTGTTCATACCCTTGTGTCCTCTTCATCGCAATTTCAAATTTCCAAAATGTTCAAAATTATCTTATATAAAATAAAGCCTTGTTATTTCCAATATATGTTGGCCCTTTCCTGGTGTGTCCCTAATAATACACCTCTACACACACACACACAAACAAATTTAATCAACAACCAACAAGATAATATATATATATAGCCCGAAAATGCTATCCTGGCCATCCACAACAGCTTTGACTCTTCCATCTCAACCTTTAAAACTTAAAACTAACTTAAATTAATGCTTTATATTAAATATTGAACTGTAACATCCAAACCGTCTGGTTTTTTTTCATCCAAAGGCTTTGACGGGCTGTGACGTAATCGATGATTAAAAGTTTGGTGAAGTTATTGCAAGAGAGAGAGAGATGGTGTTGGGATTGGATTGGATTGGATCTTGAAGTGGTGGGATGGTGAGTATATTTACGATCGATTGTGGATATATATCTGGGAGTAGGAGAAGTTGGGTTCATTTTGGTCTTAGTTTGGTGTTTGTAACGTTGGAATTGACCGAGTTGCTTTGAAGGCTTTGATGAGCTACTGGGAAGGGAAACTCAGCAACGAAAACTCAAGTAACGGAGGTATACAATATAGATATAAAGGTTATTACCTTTGCAAGGGAAGGTGAGGAAAATGGCAGGTCCTGTGAAGTCAAGAGAGGTTTGTGCCAATTGTGCTCGAAGGAAGGTCAAATGTGATCGGTTGGTTCCCTGCGGGAATTGTGTGCGGCGAGGTTTGGAAGTTAGTTGTAATCCCAATGGTTCAGGATCAGGATCAGGATCAGGATTAGGTCCAGGGTTCGATGAATCTGTCTCCAATGTCTCCAGCAAGAGTTCTCTTGCTCTATGGCAAGCTTACGAACGTTATGTGGTAGATATCGGGCTCTTCAAAGTCTCGAATCAAGATGTCAAGGACGCTTATGAAGATGTCAGCAGTGATATCCACGAAACTGAATACCTGATGGCATGTTTGAACGAAGAGGACTCTTATTCCCTATTAAACTACGCTGTAGAGAACTTGGGTCCTCTTTTCTTTGGTTGTCTGGCAGATGTAAGCGAGTTGTACCCAATGCTAGATAGATATTGGCAAAGGAGAAACTTGCATAGACAAAAAAATGGTTCAGTGATATTCTCTGTAGATGAAAATTACGAAACAACTCTACTGTGGTCTATATTTGCATTATCAGTATATTATATCGATTGTCAGCAACTGGATGCACTGTTTGAATCCGATGTCTTGAGTCGAGTTTTGGATATATCATCATCACCTTCTTCCCGCGCAAAAACTATAACAGAACAAGTTCAATCGCAACTATTTGATTTCATCATTAAATTGATCACTGTGTTGCTGTATAAGACAAACTTCATGACATACCCAGATATCAGACTGGTCCAGATACACATCATTTTAAGCGCAACTTCGTTCCTCACTTCACACAGATCCCTGTCAGATAGTATTTTATTACAGAGCTTCAGTGTAGCCAAAATGTACCAACTTGGAAATCTACAACGCAGTGTCAACGACTCGACCATCGAACAATTGATTAAAATCACTACAGAAAAGATGTGGTATCGTTTATGTATATCGGATTACCTAAGTTCAGGTCCTAGTAACAGAATAACGTTCCATCATCAGATATCTTCACTTTTACAGCAACAACTGCCAAATGAGGATTCATCGAATCTGGATGTATGCCAGAGCGAAGATACTTTCGATTCATTGTTTTGGAAAATATTATCTCTGGATAGAGACATAGACCAGTATCTCATCAGAGATTCAAAACCTCCAATGAAAACATTGGATGCAATTTCCAAGTTCGAAGAAAATTTACACGAAAGAGTAAGCTCTATTGGTGAACTAGAATCTAAAAATTCGCAGTTCGAGAAATTTATTTTAATTTACTTGTTGAATAGCATTTCATGGAAATTAAACAAGTCATATTTTATTTATTATGACACTAGTGGAAGTTTGGAAAAAAGTATGCATCACGTTAAAGTCATGATTGAATTGTTGGTGAAAAATTTCAACCATTCTCCATTATTTAACAAACATCCCATCGTCATCAACTGTTTTTCAAAAATAAGTTTATTCTATTCATTCTACTATACGTTCAATGACTCTACGACACTGAAGGATTTATGTCTCGACATCAATGAAGTAATAATGAACCTATCTGATCTCTTCAAACCGGCATTATCAAAATTAATCATTCTAATTACCAGATTTAAAAAACTTAAGTTGATTTGGGATCAAGTCAAAGTGCTGGATTCAGATAATGCCTTAAATCACCCTGTTATAACTATCTTGAAAGATGATATCAATTTTATAAAGAAAAGCATCAATCACCTACCTCCAATAATATCAGGGACTTCGAGTTCTATGCTATACAAAAGAACCCTAGACGACGAAGATATAGATGCTTTCAAAGGAAACAAGAGTGAAGCATTTAAACTAATCATCTCTGAATTCGAGTCTGAGTTCAACATCCAAGAAATTATATATTAATTCGTATTATATAGCATTATCTATAACTGACTACTCCAAATAAAGTTGGGTCGCTTCAACATCTCTCAAAGACTTTATATAACCCTGGTAAATTAGCTATCTCTATAACGTCTTTCAAAAGACTCGATGGTGCTAAAAGTCTTCTTTTCACACAAGGAAATATAATGTTTTCCAAAGATGAATTAATGTAATTTTTCTTGTTAATATATTCTATCTTCAAATCTTCACTCATTTCATCTGTAGTGTCCATTTTTTCTATTATTTCTGGGATATAAAACAATGCGATTTGTTTTAGAATGCTACTTAGACACTCTTCCTCACTCTCCCAATTAACTTTGGTGCCTAATCTAAATAGGAAGAAAGACAATTTAGACATAGGAGGGTGGTAATCCTTTAACAACAGTGGTATTGAAGATAACTCCACGGTTCTTAAATCATCCCCATCATTAGAAAATTCAATTGAGAAATATTCCTTTAACATATCTTTCATTTCCCAGAATTTTTGAATTATTTGCATTATAGATTTCTCATCCTTAGAAATGATATCAATACTAGACAATATTTCAAACAATTGTAAGTCCTTCTTGTCCTCTGTCTTCAGCTGTATTATTCCAAAATTTGCAAAGTCAGTTAATCCAATTTGATAGAATAACTCAAAGGACACTGCGCCATAGTCAACTAAAAATAACTTTAAGTCATGCTGTATAGCGGCTAATCTTTTCTGTTCATCAACCACACCAACAAATGTCAAATTTGCAAAAATATTAGTAAGCTCCCTATGTGCAGTGTTGTCCACATTTTCACGTAATTTTAATATACTTGTCAGATCTACACTTGTTCTCTTTCTTGGCACTATCTTATAACCATTTGTGATGATACCATCACCAGTGATGCTGTTCTCATCGTTAACTTCATTATCATCGTTGGAAATTTCTTCTACTACCTGAGTTGTAGTTGAAGAAGAAACTGTTTCATCATCGATGTCAACTGTTTCTGATTCCTCAAAAGTTGATCGTAGTCGTTTCTTAGGAATATTAGCTGTATTGAAAGTTTGAGTATCTCTCTCTGTAGGAGGTTTCATAAATGAGGTAATTTTTGATTGGGAAGAATCTGTTCTAACTAGTTTATGTTCATATATTTTATTTTTAATCTGTTGAAGTTGTGATTGTGATCTAACAGGTCGAGACGCATTGCTATTTTGACTATTTGAAACGACGGTAACTTCAACTGGCTGACCTGTTAGCAATGTGCTAGTTTTAAACGTTCTTGATGTGTTCAATTTTGAAAGCTCATCGTTTAGATGGAAATTAATTTTTTCAATAATCTCATCTTGGTTCAGAAATCTTACCTCTCTCTTCGTTGGATGGACATTGACATCAACAGATTGAGGATCTATCAGGATATTCAAATAAATAAATGCTTTAAATCCTTTAGAAAGGTATGTCCCAAAGACCTGGTTTAGTGATCTTCTTAAGGGATCGCATGTTACCAATCTATTATTAATGAAAAAAATCGGTTGAATTGATTTCTTCATTTGAAAGTTCAGATCTGTAACTTGTCCATCTATTCTCTTTACACCAATATCTTCAATCTCTGGTAATTCATAATCTATCAGATGCGAAGAGACATTGTTGCCAAAGACTGTTCTTATTCTTTCTTGAATGGTTAAGTTTGCCCTAACCGTCAAGGTAAAATTCGAATCTCCCATTTTTTTGCAAGAGAACCCAATATCTTTAGAATGAACTGCATATCTACCTACAACATCTAATATTTTAGAATATTCATCACTAGGTGAACGTAATGATCTTAATCTCGAAGGTATATTATAAAATAAATCTTCGACCAAAATCACTGTACCATCTCTCCCGGCCACGGGTTTTGGCTGACCAAGCATCTTACCTTCTGAATACGATACTTTCCAAGCACATTGATCATTTTTAGTCTTTGTAGTCACCGTGACTCTAGAGATATGTGATATACTTGCCAATGCTTCCCCTCTAAACCCATAGGTTTCGATATTACCTAAATCTTCAAATTTACTCAATTTAGATGTAGTAAACCTCTCACACAAAATAGGAAGATCATCCTTCTCAATACCTGAGCCATTATCTGTAATCTGCAATACTTTGATCCCACCATCCTTTACTAATATATCAATCGATGAACAACCAGCATCAATAGAATTTTCCATCATTTCCTTTAATGCATTAACTGGCGAGATAATGATCTCACCAGCAGCAATCTTATTAACCACAGAGGGGTCCAATGCCTTTATCTTAGCGACCATAACTGACTACCTACAGCACCTTCAGACTATTCAAATAAGTCCAATCTATAGTCCTTATCTACCTTATATAGGTTTATCCACTACTACTTTCTTAAAAATCAATCGATGAGCTTTAAAAAGTTCGAGTTATTAATTACGCGTAACTAATTTGGTGTCACTATTTGAACCATAACCATAACCATAACCATGGTGATAAGGTTGTATAAATGAACTATTTTACTATTTACAATATTTATTAAATTTATATTCTATTCAGGTTTTAAATTATTTACAAATCCATCCTGGTACCTTCAAGATATCAGTTATTGGCCATTTTCTAATCGGTGTTACTTCTAAATCTGTCGTCAGTTTATTCTTTTCGTATAATTCTATACCTGCCCAACCTATCATTACTGCATTGTCAGAACATAGATTTAGTGGTGGATAGTAGAATGCTTTGAAAGTTTCCCCAAATTCATTCTCTAGTTTTGTTCTTAATCTTTTATTTGCACCGACACCTCCAGAACATACAAACTGGTCAACATTTTGAAACTTATCAGGACGTAATTTAATGGTATGTTTTATCTTTGTAATCAGATGGTCAAATGTAGATTCTTGAATTTGATATGCCATTGCTCTTCTTTCATTTTCGTCGTATTCTGAGATTACTTTGGTCAGATTCTTCTTAACAGCTGTAATGAAAGGAGCAAATGAAAACGCCAATGTATCAACTCTACTTGGCTTGTTTCTCAATGGATTAGGTAGAACAATTTTGTCATTATCTTTAATAGATATTGGGTTTGATCCAATGAGGTTTTCCATTTCTTTGGCTATCATTATTCCTTTAATTCCAATTTCACGACCACATTTATCTAAGGAATCACCAATGGCAATGTCCAAGGTGTCACATAGGATCTCATGCTCTGTAACACTCGAAGAATGAACCAGCATTGTGTGGCCACCACTCACAAGCAGACTAATAAATGGAAACTTAGGTTCCATACCGTTACTAATCATCCTGGGGATCAAGAGATGACCCAACATATGATGCACACCAACAAATGGTTTCCCCCATGCCACCGATAAACCTCTTGCAAAATCAAGGCCACTAGAAAGAGATCCTGGCATCCCAGGGCCCCTAGTGACACATATAAGATCGATATCTGGAGATGAACAACTAGCTAAAGCCTTCTTTGTTAACGATGCAATCTTCAATTGATGATGTACATGCGCTTTGGTAGGTATAATGCCCCCATCTTGCACTGTATCCAACGATTCTTTCAGGTGGACTAATAGTTCAGGAGCCTTGGTAGTTGATGGCCTGTCCAACACAGCAACACAGGTGTCATCGCAAGAGGTTTCAATGGCCAATACTTTATAGCTTCTTCTAGGACACCACAGAAGACAGAATGAAGCCACAGATTTAGCTCTCAGCATAAGTAACTAACAGCAATCACTAAAATAATACCAGACCGTAACAGATACCAACTTTGACAGCGTTTCCACCTCAGTAAGTATCAATATCTTTTTATCCTGTTCCTATATTAAGACTCTTCAAATAGTTGGAAATATTTTTCTGGTGCTATGTTAGATCAGATTTCTTGGAATAACGGTAAAAAGTACCTGAAAAATTTAAACAGCAATGCTTCCGAATGATGTGGACCTATATATTGTAATATCAGAGTGCTATGAACCTGGATTTTACAGCTTTGGCTTCAAATCTTGCTATATATTAGACAAAACACCCGTACACTGCATAACATATGCTTCAAAACCCTTTAAGTTTTGACATTTTTAGCTGAAAAAAACTGAAAAAAAAATCTTCAACAGATCGAAAGGATTCAAATATTAAAGGAACTCAAGTGAAACCAGGACTGGTTTGGTTAGATCTAGGTTAAGCTAACTCAGCAATTTAGATATAAGGAGATTGCCAATTGAGAAATTTCTGGTAGAGCTTTTTCAGTTTTACAAGAACGAGGCTATATCTCCAGTTCAATTTGGGATCTAGGTGAAAGATTTAGAAAATAAAACTGATATTTTCTTTTGGAGGTTTCTGGCATATAGAATCATAGATACCAATCCAATTCGTTCATTTACCTTTTGATTTTATTTAGTATATCTAGTGATTCACTTTACCTCTGCTGTGTTGTTAGGTTTTTTTTATTTCTGACATCGAATTCTTTTTGTAAATAGATAGAAACCCAGGTGAGAATTTTGAATTGTAGCGTTTGCATTATTCTTTTATTTTGCAAATTGATTTGTTTCACCAACAGATCATAAACTTTTGATATTTTATTTTTATGAAATGTTTAATCTGACGTCCTCTATTCCTATTGTACGTCAGCCATCTGACCATCCAATACCACCCCATGGTGATTTCACTACAGGTGGAGAACCTGTTGGAAGTGGATTACCTGTAATAGAACCTCCTATTGATGAGGAATCACAGAGACCAATTTGGCAAAGTGTCTTAGCTGGTGGTATAGGAGGTGCCATTGGTGATTCTGTAATGCATTCTTTGGACACTGTCAAAACAAGACAACAAGGTGCACCTAACGTTTTGAAATATAGAAACATGTGGGGTGCTTATAGATCTATCTTTATAGAAGAAGGGCTGATGAGAGGCCTTTATGGTGGATATTTTGCTGCAATGGTAGGATCCTTCCCCAGTGCAGCTATATTTTTTGGTACTTACGAATTCTCCAAGAGGAAAATGATATATGAATGGGGGGTCAACGAAACCACCACATATCTAATATCTGGTTTATTAGGTGATTTAGTTTCCAGTATCGTATACGTACCTTCAGAAGTGCTAAAAACCAGACTACAATTGCAAGGAAGATACAATAATACGTATTTTGATTCCGGATACAATTATCGAAACTTAAGAGATGCTATTAAAACGATAGTCAAGACGGAGGGGTTCAGTACTCTATTTTTTGGTTACAAAGCAACGCTAGCTAGAGATCTCCCATTCAGTGCCTTACAATTTGCATTTTATGAAAAATTTAGACAATTAGCATTCAATATCGAAAATAAAAACATCAAAGAAGATGCCCTTTCAATCACTAGTGAAATTTTAACAGGTGCAAGCGCCGGTGGTTTAGCAGGGATAATAACCACACCACTAGACGTAGTGAAAACAAGAGTCCAAACACAACAGTCCTACAAGGGAGAACTGCGAGTCATAGATCTCAATGCCACTACACAATCGAAACCGTCGACTTTAACCAATTCAATGATCCAAAGTTTACGAACTGTATATAGAACTGAAGGTATCACGGGTTATTTCAGCGGAGTGGGACCTAGATTCATTTGGACCAGTGTCCAAAGTAGTATCATGCTATTACTATATCAAGTATTGCTTCGAGGAATAGACAATTCTTTTGGTGTTTCGCAACCTGAATTGGAATAAAAATAATCAAATCAATAGACACAATTCCCCTTCCGAACCTAAAATATAGCAGACATTCACCCAACTGCCCCCCCCCCCCCCCCCCCCCTCAAAAAAAAAAATCTAGATTGCATCAGTGCGCTGCCAGATTTCAATAAAATATTCTGACACTTCCCTATTAGCATATTCGAAACAACTTCGCACTCACCCCTCCTCCTCCTCTCTTTCTCCCTCAACTCTCTCAAATGTTAAAAGCAAAAACAAAGCTGAAAGAATCACAAATGTAAATAGTAACACCCTCTATAGTCATGATATCTTAATATTCATTATGTCATATCTCTATCAAATCAAGTTCTTTTGTATTTACTGTCGTCGTCGTCGTCGTCGTCGTTTACTGACTGGTTACAATTTCTCTTCACTATTTGAGGGAAACTTACCCGGATTTCACCTACGAAATCTTCTCTTTAAGGTGGTGATTAACCAAAACCTTTAAAATATATATGATTTAAAGGACATGAAGATCAAATAAATAGGGTTTATTCTAGTGTTGAATTGTATTAAAAGTTGATCCAAGTACGGTAGATTATTGATTGTTGACTATATATTTTGAAAACTTAAATATTTTAATTTTATTTTAGTCAGATAGGCTGCGATCAAGCATTGGTGACAGGGGAAAAGGATATACAATATTGATATGCAATACGTTGGTAGAGCTATTGGATCTGTATCCAAGACTTGGTCATCTATCAATCCTGCTACGTTGTCAGGAGCTATTGATGTTATAGTTGTTGAACATCCAGATGGTTCATTAGCTTGCTCTCCGTTTCATGTGCGGTTTGGTAAATTTAGAATATTAAAGCCTTCGCAGAAAAAGGTTGAAGTTATTATTAATGGGAAGTCTACTAATATCCCTATGAAGTTGGGAGATAGTGGTGAAGCGTACTTTGTTTTTGAAACGTCTTCTAGTATCTCGGATATTCCATCTGAATTGTTGGCATCTCCTGTGGTAAGTGCTTTAAGTAGTCCTCCCGGTTCTCCAAACCCTTCAACAAACGATTTGAATGAAGATGGGAAAGGACAGGATGAAAAAGGTATGGGGAAGGGTTATCTAGAAGACCCTGACTTCTTGGATATTAATAGTAATGCAGAAACTAATGAATCTGATAAGGAAAATGAAAAAGTTAAGATGAACAATTTCCAACAAAATTTGAATAAGAAATTGACCCAAATTCATATTCCAAGTAAAATTGATAATAATGGTGATTTATTATTGGATATTGAAGGTTACAAACCGGATCAAGTTAAGATGCATGACACAGATGAACAACTGAAAAAATTATTGCAAGAAGAACTAGGTGCGAATTATGATATATCAAGCTTTATAAGAGAGGATCAAAGTGGTAATATTAGAATTATTAATCCACATGATGCATCTTCCTCTCATGGTTCGCCACCTAATGGAAATGCGTTTAACTCAGAAGCTATCTTCCCTCATTCTCAAAGTGCAAATGAGGAATATACCTCAGATACTGAGACTCCGATTGAAAGTAAGTCATCAGATTCAAGATCATTAGATAGTAGCACAGATACCACTACAACTGAAACACATCCAAGTTATTCTAGTACAGGACAAAACTATATCAGAACCATCAGATTAACCAGTGATCAGTTAAAATGTTTAGATTTGAAATATGGTGAAAACGATTTGGAATTTTCCGTTGATCAAGGTAAAGCGATTGTAAAGTCTAAATTATATGTTTGGCGTTGGGATATCCCAATTGTTATTAGTGACATCGATGGTACTATCACAAAATCAGATGCAATGGGCCATGTTATGAATTTAATTGGTAAAGATTGGACTCATATTGGTGTTGCAAAATTGTTCTCTGAAATTTATAGAAATGGTTATAACATCATGTACTTAACAGCAAGAAGTGCAGGTCAAGCTGACTCTACACGTGGTTACCTAGATTCTGTTGTTCAAAATGGGTACAAACTACCAAAGGGACCGGTGCTTTTATCACCTGACAGAACGATGGCCGCTTTAAGAAGAGAAGTTATTTTGAAAAAACCAGAAGTTTTCAAAATTGCATGTCTAAATGATATTAGATCAATTTTTGTTAATAAATACGAAGAATTTCATCAAACAAAAGATGAAAAAATACATGACGATTCGGAATCTGATGTAAGCAACGATACAAAACCTACGCCCTTTTATGCAGGGTTCGGTAATAGAATTACAGATGCGCTATCTTACAGAACCGTTGGCATACAGAGTTCAAGAATATTTACAATCAATCCCGATGGTGAAGTCCATATGGAATTGTTAGAGCTGGCAGGGTATCGGTCATCATATGTCCATATTAACGAATTGGTTGACCAGTTTTTCCCACCAGTGAAACCGGTCGACAACAATTACGATGCAAGAAGTATCACCTCAATGACGCCGGGTTCACCAATAAATACATCCTTGGACAATATTGACTTGGATGCTAAGTCATTTTTCATTAAAAACACACAAGAAGAAAAGTTCACCGATGCAAATTTCTGGAGAGACCCATTAGTTGATTTAGACAATTTATCTGACATCAGCGAAGGGGGTAATGATGATGAATCAGATATCAATCGTTCGACACCAGGAACACAAAACGATCGTGCTATTGGAACAAGAGACGAAATAAAATCAGATAATGGATCATACAGCTCCCCAGACAGCAAGGATATTTTGAATGGCAACGGTATGTCATCCACACCGATTAAAAATATTCCAAACTCTAAAGGACAGATAGGAAATCAAATATACCTAGAATTGGGATCACCAATATCTTCACCAAAGTTCAATTACTTAAGCAACTTAGAAGATGTTAATTTCCTAAAAAATAATGGCAGCAAGAGTAGTACCAATATCAGTATAGAAGGTCTAAGTCTAAACTCCGGTCCTGTTCATCCAGTATCTGGAGTCTCCAAAGTAAACATAATGGAAGATGGACAACACCATTCAGACTCGAACCATAGTGATTATGAAGAACCTTCTGATGATGAATTCGACGAAGACGAATTCATATAATCAATTCATAACAACCAACCAATACCGATAACAAAATTAAATCTTGAAGTAATTCACAAAAAGGATTAAGCATAAAGAAAAAAAGATACCAACCACCATTCATTTATTTACAACCACACATGTAAATATTTATGAAATATATTATATATCTATGTATTTATATATATATGTACACATATAATTACAATATTTCTGTTTTTTTGTTCATAATTAACCTTCAAGAATGTGTCTCTTGCAGCCAACCGATCTTTTAAAGACAATAAACGACAACATCCACCCATGATAATATCGATCAATACATAACCCTCCCATATCTTACCAAACGCTCTCTCTCTCTGATCTAACCAACCTTCTTGAATACATTGCTGTTTATTGCCTATTTGACACCTTTAACCTTTTGACTTTACTCACTTTGGCTTGCCTGTGGGCCCGTACTAGACACTTTGATTGATATCCGAAAATTATTTAAAAGCAACTTTTGGATATAAAACAAACAATCAATCTAAGTATTGGACGGTAGTTTTAGTTGATTGATTTGGTAATAAAGGGGATTGAAAGTTTCTAAATCTATGGGGTATTGTATTGTTATTGAGTTCTGATTCTATAAAGGTGCATTTAGTTGAAATTTTATTGTTCTTTTTCTTCTCTTATTAACTATCGCTATTGTTAACAATCATATACTAGCAGTACTGATAATATTAATAATAGGAAAGATATTTAAAAAGATTGGGTGAATAGATATTTGGCGGTAGGCTTTGTCGGTTAGGTTTATTATTCAGAGAAAGTATTTATCTGGTTTTGACTAGTGTCACGATACTACTTTTGATTTTGGATATTTGAATCTAGTCTTGTTTTGTTATTGTTTTGGGGAGAGATAGAAAGAGTACTGGGTGAATGAAAAGGAATAGGGATACGAAGATGGATCACAAGAGTGGGAAGATGAATGCTAATGATAGGAACCAGCAGAATAACATTAAACAGGAGTTTAAGTCTGATTTGAATGAGGCGGCGAATGCCCAACCTAAATATAATTTCAATATCATGGTTTCAGATGCCATGGCAAAAACTTCAAAACAGTTATTATATGCTCATATTTACAATTATCTTTTACACAATAAACATTTAGAGACTGCGAAACAGTTCTTGAAAGAGGCAGATGTTCCATTATTGACTGGGAATAATAATGATGATGTGGCTGTTAAAAACCCCACCGCTGCAACTTTATCACAAAACGATTTAAACCCAAGAGAATTATTACCTACAAAGATGTTAATGAATGCGAATGATACTTTCCTATTAGAATGGTGGGAGTATTTTAGTTCTGTTTACGATTTCGTAGATACTAGCGATTTATCTGCTCTACAAAATAATGATTTCTTACAAGATAGAATTTTTCCAATTTTACCAACTTCAAATAAAGTGCCAACACAAAGATATTCAAGGCAACAATCAGATCAAGTGCAGATGAATCAAAATAGCACAGGCAATTCTAGCAGAAGTGGGATGGGTACTCCGATTGCAAATCCATCAAACCAGAATTATCAACACTCCTCTAACCCAAATAGTGGTACTCCTACTTCAACTGCTAATAATAATACAAATAATAATAACAACAATAACAGTAATAACAATAATAGTAAGCAATTTGCTCAGCAAACCCTTAATTCACAATTACAAAATGGCGTTGTATACCCGTCTAATCAAAACGGACAGCAGCATGCAAGAAGACCTCAGTCAGTGTCAAGTGACATTTCAAATACGATGAGTATGGATGAACAACAGCAACAGATGAACCTACTCAAGCAAGTTAATTCACAAAATCCACAACTTATGAATAACATGTTGTTTCAAAACGTTCAGCAACAATCCTCATCTTCTCCAAATACTCCTGTTTCTGCAAATAACGTCGATGGCAACGGTCAATTTCCTATAAGTAAAATGAACTGGAATAGAATACAGAGAGAAAGAATGAGAATTATGCGCCAGCAGCAGCAGATCCGCCAACAACAGATGCAACAACAACGGCCACAACCAAATCAGCAACAAATACAACAGCAACAACAGCGTTCGCAACTGCCACAACAACAAGCTCAGCAACGTATACAGCAAGCTAAACAACAGGTATCTCAACAGCAACGTCCACATCCAACGCAACAGCAAGTTCATCAAATGCAGCAAATGCAAAAGCAACTTCAACAGCAATTACAACAGCAGTCTGTTATGCAGGGACAACAACAAGGTCCTATGCAACTACAACAAGGTCAGACTCAATCTCAAGGTCAGGGACAAGCACAAGATGCTCAACAACAGGGACAGCCGTTATCTCAACAGCAAATGAAACAATTAAGAAATGGAGGCAATGTCGATTCAAACATTCAACAGCAATATATGTCAATGATGATGCAAATGATGATGCTTTCGAAAAACAATCAACAAATTCCTCAACAAATGCAGCAACAGATGATGCAGCAAATGCAACAGCTTCAGCAACAACAACAGCAGGCTCTACAACAAAACACAGGCAAACCACAACTTTCGCATCAATTTGTTGTTCCAGTTAATAATCAAGTTGTCACTACTCCTGGAGGGAGCTCAACTTCTGCTAGAACTAAATCTAATGCTAGATCTACAAATACTAATAAAAAGAAAATGGAAACAGTATCCAAGAAAAATAACAAACGTTCTGATATTAACAGCCCTGCAACAATAGTGCCTATCAGTACACCAACTTCGAGTGATGGAAATATCATTAGCAGTACACAGGGAACAAATTTCCCTATAGTAAATTTAAGTCAAGCTCCAACTCCCACATCTAAGGCGGAAGGAGATGGGGAAGCTGGTCAAAATAAAAAGAGAAGACGTAAGAAGCCAAAGACTCCAAATACTAATGTTTCTGCAAGTACACCTACTGCAGGCAATACCGCTAATAGTACACCTGTCACTACTAGTGGAGTAAACAGCTCTGTAGTTGGTTCTGCCACTACATCCAATGATAAGAGAACGCCATCAAATACAGTTGCTAATAACGACGGTTCTATGCAAACAAATGTAAACGAACTTGATATTGGTCTAGGAATGAACACCAATAGCAATAATAATAATAATAATAATAATAATAATAATAATAATAATAATAATAATAATAATAATAATAATAATAATAATAACAACCCCAATAGCAATTCAAGAGATAAAATAAATAACAATGATTTGAATATGAATCTGGATATGATGTCGTTTGGGAACAGTGCATCCAGTATGGGTCTAAACGATGGGTTTCAATTGTTTGACATGGACGGGTTTCCAAATGACATTATGGGTAGTTAAACAAATAGTTCATCCACCAATTTCATCAACTTGAAGATGAGGAAACGAAAAAAAAAATATAATAATAATAATCAAGAAGAAAGATAGAAATTATAATTAGAAACAAGATTGTATCATTACTCATTTAATAAGTCTCTCAAATTATGGATTCGGTTGGAGTCATTACACATCACTAAAGCTGCCATGTGTGAACCCAATTCCAGTCCGATCCTGTTCTAATTTGGATATTTTTTTATTTTTACTTTTATTTCATTAAAATTAGAATAATTGAGAGAAACGAACCATCACTTGCATACATCGAGCATCTCAAAACAGATATAAACGTTTAGGTTGGCCTAGGAATCAAAAGAGAACTCTCATCAAACTGCGTCATATTTATACATATATAGATATATATATATTTTTTTTATTGGTTTTGTTTTTTTTTCCCATTCATTTTTTGGTTTGAGTCTCTCCTACACACTGTTGATCCCCATAGTTTCAACAGATACCAACTCCAAACCTACTCAAAGACAATATCCGTTGCCTCTAATCTCGAATACCACTCTTTTATCGTACTTTATAATCATTTATAGTCATCACATCATGTGCTTAAACCATATATCTAATAGTTTCTCAACCTCTTCAATTCTTTATTTCCGAGATATCAAACTATTTTTAAAAAGTAAAATATCAACAAGCGTTTTTGTTTACCAAATGAATCAAGATGATTAAAAAGGTCGATGAGACTTCTAAAGATAGGATTTGAAGTTGTTAATGGATCATCTGTCGATGGAGGGTGTGGTTCAGGATATTGTTGAGGATTGAGGTTTGCTATTATTGATTTCCAGTTTAAGTTGCGAAAGGAAAGGCCATTTTTTTTAGATAATTGGATAGAATAAAAAGAGATAATAAAAATATTATGGAAGAGATATCACCAACAAGTTTGCATTTGCCAGGGTTACAGATCTTTTCTTCGAGTCAGGCAAGGAGGAAACCTAATGTGGGTATGTTAGGTAGGCATCTTGATTTTCCTCTTGGAGGTTATTCGAGTTCTGGAATGGTTCTTGGCAATGATACTACTCCTGTTATGGACAATAATTGTTTTGAGTTGGAAACACCAGTGACTAAGAAGTTAAGGAATTTTACTGATTGGACGACTTTGACGTTACATGAAGCATCTCCTGGGAATGACATTGCTGAAAAGTACGAAAAGTGCGATTCTTCTCCTTTGGATTTAATAATTCAAAGAATATTTGAAGAGTTGCCAATGTCAAAAAATGATCAATTCTTTGACGAGTTTCAGTATGCAATTATTACTTGTCCTTTACTGAATGACAATAATGGTGTTCGTTTTTTATTCGACGTGAAGAAATCCATTTTAGATTTCCATAAAAATAAATATACAGGGCATAGGAGAATATTAAAATCATTTCCAACAAAATTTGGAAGATGCTTAAAATTATCAAGTGATAATTTCCAGCTTACCAAGACATTTCATCATTCGAGAACAGTTTTATTAAGTTATAAATTGATCAACTATATTCATTCTTTAAAAAATTCTGAAGAATCGTTGATTTTGAAAAACAAATTCTTAACAATAATATTACTTTGTTTATACATGTCATTTCAACAAGAACTTTTCCATATTCAATACATTAAATATAAAACATTATTAGAGGTAAAGATCATTTTAAATTCTTTACATCGTTTGGACACTATTATTCATAAATATTACAATGCATATTCTGAAGAATCTATCTTTAGACCTATTAATTTGAATTTAAACAATCAAATTGACAATAATTCAAATCTATCAAACATCGAAGTCTTATTATCATCATGTTTAGATATATTATTTTACAACTTCAAAAATTTCACTAATGAAATGTTACAATTAATTAATATTGACGAGCTAGGGAAATTTTGTGATATTTACAAGATTCATTTCAATGAATTATATGATTTATTGAGAAAATCACAAACAACTATAAAGGGAAAATTATTAAGATCAGAAATTTTACAGAAATTTTTTTTATGTTGCTTATTATCATTAAATAATACCAATGTATCAATAAACCAACATGTTAGATCTTCGTTAACAAAAATATTTAATGATTCATTTTTAAATCAACCCGAGCCTAAACAGCAATTAAAATTAGAAAAAACTGCAATAATTTTAAAGCAAGTTAAAAGGGTAATCGAACTGTTGGCATCTACATTAAACGCCAATAAGTACCTATTAGTTTCAATCATTGAAGATACACCTCCACCTTCTTCTAAATTGCACCTGAAAAATACTTCTAAAGATATAGAGAATGTTCCTTTGACTTCGTTCATTAACAGATTAGTGGAATTGGAGAGATCTATACTACGTATTGATCCTAATGATCTAGGCAGACACCAATTTGATGTTACAAACGAATTACAATCATTATTAAGAAAATGGGAAAATATAACTTCACTAGAGGGTTGTAATAATAGATTTGCAGAGACAAAGAAGATAAGAACGATTAATAACAGATTCTCAATTGATATTCGTGGATCCGAAAGAAATGGTATCTTGACAACTGATATAGATATTAAAAATATAGAAGACAATGAGACTGACTTCCTAGTTGATTCGGAATGCACTTCCATCTCTCAAGGATGCTTGGTTTGTAATAATTATAATGAAGATTGTGATTGTGACCATAATACTCTAAAAGAAAGTTTCGAAATCTCAAAGGAAAATTATGAAAACAAAGACTTGGGGGACAAATTTGGTTGTATTACTAACTCGTTTACAAAAGGATTGAGAAAATTATCAGATGAAGAACTGAAGAGAAAACTAGACGAAAAGATCTTAAGTTTGGCTGCTGAAAATATTAAAGGTAAAGAAAAGTTGAGAGACCAAAAATCATTTGAATTGTTGAAAGATATTTCAAGAAAACAATCACTTAATTGTCTCCAGCCTAGTAGTCATGATAATGATAATGATAATGATGATAAAGAGAACTTATGGAGCAGGACTCCAAAACATACTCAATTATCTTCTGAAGATTCAATTCCGGTAATATATAGAATTCGGGAATTATTACAAAGTAGGTCTTGAATCCTATAATCATATCATATTTTAATTTATATTAATACTGTATATACTATTCGAGACATATCTAGGATTATAACTCACTAAGATACTAAAAACTATGCATACTTTATTACCTAATAATTATTTCATTTCATTAATAAATAATTTAAAGTGCTAATTCTTCGATAAAGTATATATTTATATATTTGAATTTGTTTATTAATAATTGATGTGATTATTCTAAGATGGCTCCTTCAGAATCAAACATTTTACCCTTGTATTGCTCAAGGTTTTCTCCAGCATAACTAATCTTACCTGAGACTTCAACTAATACGTTTTCTTTTAAAATAGCACCTGAATCTTTTAACCAAGATGAGCCCAGTTCTAAGTAAGAGGAGCGACTTGTTTCTGGGGTGTCATTCTTCGAACCTGGAGCATTTTTTAGAGGAGAGAATTCTTTTGACCTTTCGACTTCTAGACAACCAAACTTGTCAAGTGGTACAGTTGGGAAGACATCGAAGATGAATTGTTCCAATTTGATACCATTTGCTTCTTCAGTTTTGATGTATTTACCTGTGGCATTATCATACATAGGTATTTTCTTTTTAGCAATGTGGTAGGACATGTCACCACACCAACTGTCTAAAGATTTTTTTAATAAATCAACTGAGTAATAATGGTTAACAATATTAGCAGCACGTAATTTTAGCAATCCTTGATCATCTTTAGCCTCTGACAGCTCTTTTGATATTTCTGAGTATTCAATGACACAAGGTTTGGAATCCTTTGTAGCAATCAAACCCACAGATTCGGTAGCATCTCTTTTCCTAACCGCTTTGGTAGCTAATTCAAATCCGTACTTAATAGCAAACCCAATAAAGACAGGGTCAGCCACTTTTGAAAGGACATTATCCACACAATACATGTAGACATGCTTTATATTACGTTTTTCAAAATTTTGTAGAATATTATTATCTTTGATAGCTCTATATAATCCACCGTTACCGTCTGGAGATTGAACCAATCTAGTTGGAGAACTTAACAAAAGTTTTTCACCATTCAAATCGAAAGCAGGCAAAGTACCTTGGTTGAAGAACATAATTTGAGATGCCTCCAAACCAAAATAAGAATTTTCCTTAAAGAAAGCTTCAGTTGATTTACGGGTAGGTTCTGACGTCATAATATACCATGGGATTTGGATAGAGTTATTAGTTCCTGCTAAATTTTGTAGACGAATTAATTTCTCAGCTTGAATCTGGAACAGAGATTTGTGAGAAGGCAAGCCGATATCGTAACAGCCTTTTGGTAAAGAAGAACCCAATCTGGTACCCTGACCACCAGCCATTAAAATTACAGCAACTTCACCATTTGAAATAGCTTTCATACCCAAGTCCCAATATTCTCTTTCGGCTGACTCATTTCCAATGATGGAATGGTAAGAAGAAGAAGGTAAAGGCTCAATCGAGCCTTTATTGCTACCATTAGCCTTTGATAACTGGATAGCATCTTTACAATCCTTGACCAACTTTGTAGGTTCGACTCTTTGAGCCACAGAACTCAAATCATGAATCAATTCATCTTGTTCGTCAGCCCCCAGCCCATCAAAATGGCCAAACAAATGACCTTGATTAGCACTAATATACTTCTCTCTAATATCCACAACAGTCATCATTCAATTAATTTACCACTATGCTTTATATCTTTAAAGTGTTCCTTTTTCCTTCTGGTCACTGTTTTTGATTTTTTTGTTTTTGTTGCCGTTATTGTTTTTGTTTTTGTTTTTGTTTTTGTAATAGTAATAGTAATAGTAATGGCTACCGTTACTACTACCCTTATTTAAAAACCAACTCACCCTTCTCCCAACAACAATAAAATATAATCACCAACCGAAATCAACTTAATCCAAACTAGAAACTAACCAAAACATTTAATAAACTTCAAGTACCTGCTCGAACCAGATCAGATCAAGTTCCTTTCCTAATCGAGACAAAAGCCTTTAAATTTTCGAATTTCGAATTTTCGCCTTTAATGATTTTTTTTTTTTTGATTTTTGCCTATTACGTCATTTCAAAGAAACAACTTAACCTCAGGTTCATCACCATCAGCAACGACGTTAAAAGCAATTGTTTAAAGGATGTTGATGATTAAAGATGCAGAACTTGATTAACTGGATTCAAAAGTATTATATTATTTTCTTTCGATATCTTTGATTAATTTCTGAGAATCGGAATACAACAAAAGTACGCTTAAAATTTCTTTTAATTGCTTAAGACCTCTTGTTGGTGGGCTCCAGTGTTGGTAGGAGTCCCAGATTTTTGAAATCCTTGCTAATGATTCTTTATTGTTTCTTTCGAAATTGTTTGGGTCTGTGAAAGAATTGTTCCTGAAGCCGTAGTCGGTTGATATGCTGAAGTTTACTTTTGGTGGGTACTCTTGTTTTGGGAGGTTTTTTAAGTTCATAAAATCTGATAAAAATTCGTGAAATTTCCAAACTAGATCATATTGGTTTAATGTCTTTAATATACTTTTTGGTGTCGAATGATCATTTGACATTTGTAAATGTTTTTTATTGATTGGTGATTTGGTTTTAATTGTGTTTTCGATGAAACATTTATATACTTCATCGTCATCGTATACATCGTCTTGGATTTTAACTAAATTTGGATTCTTCAAATTGTTGAAATGTGTAAATTGTAAGAATGAATATAAGGTTGACAGCGATTCCGGTAGATCGTTGAGTTGTTCATCTGTTGGAACTTCTGTTGTTTTCCATTTTAATTCCATCTCCATTAGCCAAGGTCTTAATTCATTTTGAATCTGTTTCTTGATGTTTGATGACATTGTATTTTCGTTGTATGACCTTGAAATGAAAAATGGACTTATTAACTTTAATAGTGGTGCAAAATCTGTATGACCAAGGTTGATTGCCAATAGCAGATTACCTAGAAAAATTATTTCAAATAATCGATTCTCTGGAATTTTGATCTCAGAATCAAATTTTAAACTCTCCAAATGAATATCAGGCAATTCGATCTCTTCTGGTTTCTTCGTATCAATCCCCATGTATTTACCACTACACCATATATGTCTAAATATCTTTGGATGGGTGTAATCAATGGCTAATTTTTGAGTTACTGTCATAAAATTATCGTAGAGTTTACCAAAAAATGTCACTCTAGAGAGTTTCCAATTATTTAAAATCCAATCAAAGTTTTGTTGAACAGATAACGACTCAAGCGAATCCAATTTTCTATAATTCCTAATTTTAATTAAATTATCTTGTTGTTGCCTTGATGATCCCTGAAACAGCTGTTTTTCTCTTGATTGTTGAATTTTTGAATAATCTTGTTCAGTATCCATACTATTATTATCGCTGCTGTGGTCCCAAAATCTATAACCTTCTAAATTGGATTCAAATGCTAGTATACCAGCTACTACATCTTCATCGAAGCCCAGTGCACTATGATTTTGTAAAATATGAGATGCTAACTTAATTACCAATGGGACACTATGATAAACACCAACAAAAAAAACAGCATCAATGTCAACAAATAAGTCTTCAAAATTCTTCAATAACGTTGTGCATTGTTCGAAACATGTTGTAGTTTCTTCGAGGTCTAGAGGACATGTGAATGATATGGCGTTAATATTTGAAGGTGAATCATGTTTCAATGACTGTGCTAATTTAAATGACAGATATTGGGCATGTCTTTGAGACTCCAAAGAAAATTTCTCATATTTTTCAGGTAAATGGCCAGTCACTGACACTATTAATATTTTTTTCTCTCGAAGTAAACTATCAGTGGCATTTTTCAAATATAAATGCTTCTCATTAGGAAAATTATAATGTTCTTTTATTGTATTTGCAAATTTAGTAGTCCAAGGCTGAGTATGGAAGATATCTAATGGAGAATCAGAGGGTAAAATCAAAGAATTTTTAATAAAAATCTTATAACCAACGTGTTCGGATTCAACTGGAAAATTTTCAAAGATCAATGGATACTTCACTGAACCTGTACCATAAACTGACACTGTCCCTTTCCGTTTTATCCAGTCAGTATCTTCAATCTTAATGTCAGATAAATTTTCAACCCAGCACCAACTCCCACAATTCCTCATAATCACTTGCATCGATTCATCCTTCAGAAACTGTAACTGCTCCTCAGTCAAATCAGAATATCGTATGTTCTCATCTATAAGCATTAAATTATTAGCTCTAAAAGGGAACCCAGGAACCTTATTCCAAATAGTTTGGTACCAAGTAGCATCAGAACCGATATTGTCAACCTCATCTTCACCATAACTATCATCAGACTCGGGAGCAACCTCTTCCTCCTCCTCAATTGGTTCACTTCGTGACCACCAGAGCCCCCATCTTGATGCCTGTCTTGATTCAACTTCACTCATTAATTCAAACCCTTTTAAAACTGGTCTCTTTCAGGATTTAATTCAATTAATACAAGAAGCTGCTTACCACCACCAACAAAATCCTTATATACAACTCTATGGTACTTATTAAACAGATATCCTGGTCAACCCACCTTCTAGAACTCTTGTAACACTGGTTCTTTAAAGATCAATTGGTAAAAAGTTGATATACCCTATCGTTTAAGTATCCAAATATCAAATACTTCTTAATATTAAAGATCAAGAACTTTAAAGGCATATCAAATAAAGCAAGAAAGAAAGTGGTAATAAAGAGGTTAGTACTCTTCCAATCAGGCCAGTGAGTACATTGTTATATACTTGTTGATGTGACTAGGTTGTTGTTATTATTATTGTAGTTATTGTTGTTATTTTTGTTATGGATTCTTTATTTGTTGAAAGGCTGGCTCAAAGAGATGAAGTTGAAGGTAGATTTTGTGAATTGTTTAAAGAGGTCCAGATAATGGTTGGACCTCAACTCGAGGATGAATCTATGGAGAGGAAATTGATTGTTGCACTTAAAAGTGATTTAGTTGAGAAAGATCTTCGGATTGGTGAATTGGAGGAAATTTTACAACTAAGAAATAAGGATTATGAGAGGTTGAATGATGAGTTGATTAGTTTAAATATTGAGAACAATATTCTGAGGGACAAGCTTCAAAATATGACTGAAGAGAATTCCAAACTGGTTAAAAGATGGTTGAATAAAGTCCAGCAGGAAGCTGATGCGATGAATGAGAACCTACATTGAATGGATAAGAACAAGGGTGTTTTTATCTGAGTTGTGAGATCGAATCAACTACTCGATTAATTGATACAATCGATGATCCTATGATTGACATATTGTTTCACAGATTGATCCATTGCTTCACTGATTGATCCGTCGATTATATGGTGGATCCTTTGTTCGGTTGAATCGAACTGGATTGAACTGAAGTTAATTGTCTTGCGAACAAAACTAATATATATGTGTGTATGTATGTATGTATGTATGTATTTGTATAATAGTATTATTATATTTACAGGTTTGCTTTTTACTTATTTATATAAAAGGTTATGAATGTATATCAAAGAGAATTTAAGGACCTGACAGATTAAATTTTAATTGATTCTGCACAATATTTCACCGTTCATTCTCTTGGCGACAGCTTCGTTGATTTCAACGACTGCATCATCGGTCCTCACCAATATCAGCTCACCAGGCTGCAAAGGTTTGATCAATCTTACTGATGTGCCAGTACACAATTTCTTCAAGTCGTTATGAGATAAATAAATTTTCAAACTTGGTTTCGAAATCAACTTACAAGAACTCATCACCGGTTTGTTCTCTCTGTACTTTAAGCCCACCCACAGTCTTCTGGTGGCTATATTATCTGGAGTAGTCTCAGTTGGCACCGAATCTGGACCTTTTGTAGAACCTTTTTGCAAAGATGAAATAAACCCATTCTTGTATAAGTTATATGCGACCTGTAAATGCAATCTAGTATATGGAATCGAAGTCAGAGAAACTCTCACTCTGGTACAGTTCTGCAAATGAGCAAAAGTATTAGCCAATTTAACCAAAGACATCTTCCCAAATTCAATACTATTTCTCTTATTATCGTATTTCTAAGTTCAAAATTAACTAAAAAAAAATTCCAGTGTATCCAGAAACCAAAACTTCTCGAGTAATTATCCTAAAGCCACCAAACAAAAGCTAAACTGAAACACCTATAACTGGTAATAAACAAAACCGAATGTACACTCCTGTGTCAACCTCAATTACAACAGATGTACCAACTATTTAAACATAAACTTACTCTTATTTGAACTAATCAACTTTTTTCACTTTGTTAGTTTTCCAATTTTTCTGGATATCGTGCTTAAAGGCTTTAAAAATGTGAATATTTAAGAAACCATTAGCAACAACACGTTCAATTGTTGAAGATATTTGGATGAATAGAGGTGGTCATCATTAGTTTTTGGTACTTTTAAAGTTGTACAATTGTGTTTTCAGTATTTGTTTTGTGGGAACAGGATTTTTAAGGTGTTGAAAATGTTGAAAATTGGTAGAAACCTGGGAATTAGAGCTGGTTCGATATCAAGAACAAGGCTATTGACGATGAGCAATAAGCTGATGCTAGGTTCAAGCTGTTTGAGTAGGAGAGCATATAGTGCTGGTTCTAGTTCTAGTAATAATGAGATTCCTGGGTTTGGAAAAATTGCATTGGTTGGTGTTATCGGGACGTATATTTTTTATAAAGCTGCACAATCCATTGATAGGAATAAGCCAAAGGAATATGTCAGTGAAGATGAGTATAACAATGTCATGAGTGGGTTGAAGAGACGTGTTAGCATTTTCAAGCCTGATGAGGTAGAGATCCATTTGTCTCCGATTAAAGATGTAACCAAGGTGAAGAGATTGTTTAGGGATGATAAACAGATGATTTATATTGACCCTGCCAAGCTGGCGGAACAGGTCAGACAAGATCCTGAAGATCCATACGAACCATTGCTTGAGGAACTGGTCAAAAAACATGGTACAGAGGCTTATTATGACCATTTACCATTTGGGATGGCAGCTATGTTGACGGGAAGATACATGAAGGAAAACTGTAAAGCCGGAGATCGTATTGTAGTCTATAATTTCCCATTGAATATTCAAGAAGCAATCAAATTTGAAAATGAAATCAGTATATTGAAGGACATCGTGGTTTATAAAGACGATCAATCAATTGACGGTGTGGTATCTTATTACAAGACAGTTAAAAAGGTCCAAGAAATCTAGGACACCTATGAACTGAGCAAATTGGAACTAGTAGGGAAGAAAGTGTTCCTTCCTTCTCCTCTCCTCTTCCAATAAAGCTCGATTAGTTATGAGATCAAGTTAATAGTTCTTGATGGTGTATCAAAGTGGTTCGTCGTGGAAACACATTTTTTATTATCTGTATATTTCAAAATATTCTTATCATTGTAAATAGAGAATTAAACATAACGACTCAATGCAAAAGCAATAAGTAGAGTATACCGAATTTATGTAGTTTTGATGTAATAATAGAGAAGAGAAGGAGTTTATTGGTTTAATTTGTCCCCAGATCCAAGTAACTGCTTACCTTCTGGTTTCGAGTTTAAAAGATGAGCCTTAAAAAGCGACTTTCACTTTTAACTGTCACTTTAATTAGGAAAAGATGGTTAACTGAAAGGAAAGATACTATATAGTATAGATGTTTTGCAGTTTCGATTGGCAATTAAATGGTGAATTTGGTTGCCAAAGGAGGAGGAAAGAATGGTTATTAGTTTCATCAAGGTTTTTGTCTTCCTTGTTGCATACTCCAAAGGTTTCCACTTGAAATAATTACAGCGTCTGCTTTATAAATGGGTTTGGGTAACTGTTCAAGAAGGAAAGAAAACCCAATTATGAGATTGTTCTAATATCAGTAGGATTGATTTTAATTAAGATCGGTTGCAACCAGTTTGGCCTCTATGGTGTCCACTTTTGTTTTTGCTTTTGGTGTCAAATTTGATTAACCGCTCATCATCTAAAAGGCCAAATATGAGAAATAATCTACTTTCAAGATATTTAAATATCGGATACATTCATCATGTGTTGTTATGAATGGATGAATTTAAGGAATTCCCCTTCTAGGAACAATGGAAGGTAATATCTCTCCCTAGTAGAGCAGTTATAGATCCAAACAAATCTGAAGTTTAACGTAATCGTTGACTGAGGTATGAATAATGAGAAACAAGAGATTTGAGTTGAAATTGTACTGACAGAAGAATACTAATCTCTGATATCAACCAGTACCCTCTAGTTTGCTCGATCTGTGACAGGTTCTATTTCTCACTACTGGAAATTCCAAGATTAAATCGATTTTTCTCCTTTTAAGATGAAACAAAAACCAAAAAAAGCCCTGAGAGTTCACAGATTAAATAACCTCATCAAATTGTTGATTGTATTGTTGTTACTATGGCCATAGTTGATTATCCTGGTGCCAATAGTCGATTGTTTAAGTACTGTCACCTTTTTTATCGTTAAGTATTGGAACAGTACTTAACCGTACATGATGATTTTTATTTTGACAATTGGTATCAAATATTGATCAAGTTGTAAAATGTACGTGTCAAACTCGAATCACACATTATCCATCAATCAAATAGTTTATGAAACTTAGGAATGTTTGCTATATATTGAATTGTTGGAAGAGAAGGTTTATTTCAGTTTGAAATTGTTCTATTTCTTTCATCAATTGAGTGGTTATATACAAGAGAATTGTGCAGCATTTTGGAAGATTGAGTATTTAATTGAATTCAATTAATTGTTTCAATCTTGGTAGATTTCCCATTATTCATAGTTTTAAGAGTATATCTACTACATCATGGCTGGCAACAAGTCCAAGAAGGGTCAAGCCAGTGGATATAAAAATGGCAATGATGAAATTGTGAAATTGGAAGGTGTTCAAGCCATTGATCAAGATACTGTTGTTGATTTTGAATTGAAAGAAGGTCCTGAAAGACCTTACGTTATTACAGAACCTGATGCAAAAGTATCAATTCTACGTTCTATAAGTTCACATTATGAAAAAATTTTGTTAATAGTGTTGACTGTTATAACATTATATGTTAGATTATACAAATTGAGTTGGCCAAATTCTGTGGTTTTTGATGAAGTTCATTTCGGTGGATTTGCTTCAAAATATATTAAAGGTACCTTCTTCTTTGATGTTCATCCACCATTAGCTAAAATGTTATTTGCTTATGCAGGTAGTTTAGCTGGTTTTGAAGGTGATTTTGACTTTAAAAAGATTGGTGATGAATTCCCTGAAACTACTCCTTATACTTTTATGAGACTTTTCTCTGCAATGACTGGTGTAATTACCGTTATGTTCATGTATTACACATTACGTGCATCTGGTATTAGAGTTTGGGTTGCATTTTTGGCTACAGTTTGTTTTGCTGTCGAAAATTCTTTCGTTACAATTTCTCGTTATATCTTATTAGATTCCCCATTGATGTTATTCATCGCAGCTGCTGCTTATTCTTTCAAGAAATATGAATTATACCAGTCTTTTACCTTAAGAAGTTACAAGTACTTATTTGCTACTGGTATTGCTTTAGGTTTAGCTGCTTCAGCTAAATGGGTTGGTTTCTTCACAATTGCCTGGGTAGGAATATTATGTGCCTTGAGATTATTCTTCTTTGTTGGTGATTTATCAAAACCTGTCTCTACTACATGTAAGATTGCTGTTAACAAATTGGTATTCCTATTAGGTATTCCATTCGTTTTATACTCAATTTTCTTCTACGTTCATTTTAACACTTTGATTAACGATGGTGAAGGGTCTGCCTTTTTCACTTCAGAATTTAGAAGTACCTTAATTGGTAACAAAATTCCAAAGAAGGTTCAATCAGAAGTTGGTATCGGTTCCTTAGTCTCGATTCGTCATGTTGGTACAATGGGTGGTTATTTGCATTCCCACAAGCACAATTATGAAACTGGTTCTAAACAGCAACAAATTACATTGTACTCCCACCTAGATTACAACAACAACTGGTTGATTGAATTGTCTTCAAGACCTGGTGTCACACTAAATACTTTTCAAAACTTGACCGACGGTACTAGAATTAAACTATTCCATGCCGAAACAGAGCATAGATTACACTCTCATGACCACAAGGCCCCAGTATCTTCTAATGCTGATTGGCAAAAAGAAATTTCAGGTTATGGTTATCCTGGTTTCAATGGTGATGGTAACGATGATTGGATTGTTGAAATTGACAAATCCAAATCTGCTCCAGGTGAAGCTCAAGAACGTGTCCTTGCAATTGATACTAAATTTAGATTGAAGCATGCTTTAAGTGGTTGTTACCTGTTTTCTCATAAAACTAAGTTACCAAAATGGGGTTTCGAACAACAAGAAGTTTCATGTGCCCATGCTGGTAGACCTCATTTAACTTTATGGTATATTGAAGCTAATGAAAATCCAACCTTACCATGGGATGCTACTCGTGTTTCCTATACTCCACATGGTTTCTGGAAGAAATTTATTGAATCCCATTACAGAATGTGGGATGTCAATAAAGGCTTAACTGCATCCCATGTCTACCAATCTTTCCCACAAGAATGGCCATTCTTACAGCGTGGTATTAGTTACTGGGGTGAACATAACAGACAAGTTTACTTATTAGGTAATGCTATATTATGGTGGTCTGTTTCTATGTCTTTGTTTGTCTTCGTTTTGGTTGTTTTATATGAAGTTGTCGCATGGCACTTGGGTAGACCGGTTTTGCAAGACGCCCATGTCGTCAACTACCACATTCAATTCATTGAATATTTCTTGGGTTACGCTGCTCATTACATTCCATCATTTTTAATGCAACGTCAAATGTTCTTACACCATTATCTACCAGCATATTATTTTGGTATTTTGGCTTTTGCTCACACATTTGACTTCATTGTCACTTACAGCTTTAGAAATAAGAGAAGAGCCGGTGTTGCTACTGCTTTGATCTTTACCTTCGTATGTGTTTGGTTCTATCACAATTATAGTGCTTTGATTTACGGTAGTGAATGGACTCGTGATCTATGTAAAAAGACACAATGGATGGACACTTGGGATTATAACTGTAACAACTTCGCAGAAGCTTTTTCTGATTATGCAACGATTGCAACGACTACAACCGCTTCTGCAACTGCTGCTCCTACTTCTGCTGCTAATGTCAGTTCTTAAGTGATATATACCCAGTCCCTTTTATAAAACAATCCATACCGTAAAGAATTCAATAACAATACATAAAGTAATGAGATTATTGAAGTGGTTTATTTATGTTAGAGGTAAGTGGATTGCACATAATAATTAAAATATATATTAATAGATATTTTTTAAAGTAAATTTCCGTATTAATTTTATTGTCAATTTATATAATTCTTATTTCAAATACAAAGTTCAACTTTAATGGCTGTTTCTCGAGTCAGCGGAATGTTGTTAGCCATCACCCTCTAGTCGATCTTTTTAATTTTCGATACCCTGAATAAATTAATAGAAGACTTAGAATACCGACAAATAATGATGATCTTTCTACTATAGTGAATGTGTGGCTATAACAATCTGAGCCTTTAGTACAAGTTTGTTCATCGATTCCTGTATTCTTTGCCAACTCATCTGCAAGTAAAGAACTAAATATTTTAACAGTAAAGATACCACCTGAGGTACTTACACCCCAGATTGTACTGAAACCTTCAGATCCAAATGCTTCTGCAATAATAGATGGGAACGCTCCAAACATTACACCAAATGAGAAACCAAAAAGCACTGAGCAAAATGAAATATTCGAAATACTACTTTGAATTTCCTCAGAATAACTGTCCATTTCGCCAAATGATTTTGGTTTGTGTGATATCAACTTCATTGCAGCAACTGCCATAATGAATGATGATAGAACTATATTCCATAATCGCTGGGATTTTATTCTCCTAACTAAGAAATCGGATATTGGGCCTGAAAGCAATCTGCCTGTGAATGACATTAATGACAATATTGAAACTTGCAATGATTGAATTTTATCAGGATTGTAATTTCCAGATGACAAAGCATCATCTGTAAGGTTGTTTTTCACTATAAATCCCACAGAATAAATGTACATTTGACCAATCCCTTGCAAAGTAGCTAGAATTACAAAATGGTAGAGAAACCTTGGTTTTCTTATAGTCTTTAAAACATTTGCTGAACCAGATACTTTCGATTCTTCTGATTCGATATAATTACCATAGGGACCATCCAAACTTTTTGCTTTAAAGTCATCATTGGGCATAATTAATCTTGGGGTCGATATTGCACTGATGTTATTAGATTTTAAATGAAGTGGTGTGCTTGGATTAGCATAATTGTCAATTGAATCATCTAGTGTGCTGTTAGTAGGGTTTAACACAGGGGTTCCTGGAATACTATTTAATTCATAAGACGATGGTTGAGGTTGGAAGATCGAATCTTCTGTGATATTATTTGGAATTGTTTTGGGAAAATTAGAAGGCATTGGAACTAAAGTAAGTGTAAGGAATCCAACAAATGACATCAATGGACATATAATTACCAAAAACTTAAAAACGTTATCCATATTCGAACCAAAAAATTTTGAGCATAGAAATGCAAAAAATGTTCCTGATAATGCATATAAAGATACAGGGAAAGCGCCAGCAGTACCTCTGTATTTTGGGAAATTGGTTGTACAACATTTGACAGCTGCAAAATATCCACAAACAGAACCAAATCCAATAAAGGTTAATGCAATAGATAGTAGAAGGATATTTGATATTTGGTAAGTATAGCAATAATCTATAAAGAAGTAACCCAAAAACGTGAACATTGAACCAGTCAAGCAAGCCAATCTTGGATTTTTGTCAACAATAATTCCTGCAAATAAACCTAAAAGAGAGCTACCAATATTCAGTGATAAAGCCAGTTGACTAGATTTTGAAATTGGTAAATTACACCTTTCTAGAAGTTGTGGAGCGTAGTATGAATACAAATACGGAGTACCAGACCCCAATGCAACAACATTACTCCCTACAAAGGCCCTGAATAATCTTGATTTAAATAACTTTGAATTAACTAACATATCCTTGGGATTTTTGGCTACAATGTAGTTTATTCTCTCTCGTATATGCTACGGATACTTGAATAGCGACTGTAATTGAATACTAAAGTAAAATAAAATATATTCCGAGATTATCTATAAATAGCAGTATTATACCTTTCAAAACTCAATCCCAGTACTTAGTTTGATCCAAATATATATCACACAAATTAGTATTCTACAATTCTATATCTCTTCCTTAAAGGACACCTGTGAGAAATTGAGAGTCACCCACTTTAATTGTAAAATAGTCACAACAACCCTTTTAAAATCTCTGGAAAAACGCAAACCCTCAAGTAACACAATTTAATTACAAATTTCACAAGCCGGTTAGACTAGAACCATCTCAACTGACAATAATCATCCACAATTGATTTTGTTGATTCAACCAATTCCTTTAAAGTTGTTAAATCTTGGACCAATTTTTTGATATTATATATATTATCACGTGATTTTGGTGATAATTGAACTTTTCCAATTTTAACTCAATTTGACGATACTTTTAAGAACACACACACTCACACACATAGACAACCAATAATTAACTTGTTAAATATTAGGATTTTAGGTTGATATTGTATCCATGAGGTATTAAGAATTCAAGGTATACGAATTGGTTTATATTGAGACTTTATTTGGGGAATTGAGTTGAAGTTATTTGGTTCAGAAAAATGTCAAATGCTGGTGTTTTGAGTACGCAAGAGTTTTTGGTAAAGCTAGGTGAATTCTTTAAGATTGCCAATGAAAAGCATATATCAGTTCGTATGAACGTAAAGAGGTTGGTTAGTTATGATCCCGTAGAACCAGCCACCGAGCATGATTCTTTGAATAAGCCACATTATGATGTCTCTAAAAAGGCCCAAACTGTTACAATTGATAATGAAGAAATTTCTGATAAAAGCTACTCTATCTTGATTAGAGCAAGTTATGGTTCCCATAAGGATAAAGTCAAATGTTCCACTGTCGTATCTCCTGATGACTTGGACAAATTTTGGCAAGAATATTCATCTGTGGTGAGAAGTAACATGAATGGGTTGATTAAAAAGAAGAAGAAGAAGGCCTCAAAGGGGAAGAAAGTTACCAAAAATTGAATTTAGTAAGATACTGATATATCTATTCCTTGATATATTTATCTTGAGGATACTGGGATTGATCCTGGGGCATGATGTACATTATAGAATATTTTAGAGATTATCACAATTATTAAATATTATTGACTATTTAGTATACAAAATAAATAATGCATTCAAAATTATTTAAAATGATTAGCAAAGTTTTTGACCAAATCAATTGGTAGACAGTAGACAGGATTGATTGCTGTAATGTTGGAAGATGGGACACCTTTTCTTGGTTCCGCACTTATGGAAAATGGATCTTTTGGATTATCGATTTTGAACGTATATTCAACAACTGATAGACCAGCTAAAACATAGTTTGTATGATAGAAATCCGGATTTTTTCCAGGTTTATCTCTTAAACCAGGTCTCTTGGTGTCTTGACAACAACGTAAAATGTATTCTCTCATTTCGTTGTGATTCATAATATATTCACCGTAACCATATGCTTCCAGTATAGCTACAGTACCACCGACCCAAAAACTGTAACAACCATCTACCAGTTTATTGCTTCTACCGCAGAAACCTTTTTCTTCATTATACTGTTTAGTTGCACACCAATCTATTAATTTTGGGATGTTTATTTTATCCAACGCACCCATAATGGCTAAACTTGCAACGGCACAGAAGGTATACCCACCATGAGCTTCATCTTCAAATGGACAACCGCCAAACCCACCTTCATAATTTTGACAGTTGATCAAATATTGTAAAGTATTTTCAACTAGTTCATCAGTAAGGATATTCAACATTGAAGCCACGCTAAGAGCACAATAAACACCTCTTGTATCTACTTCACCAACTGAATAACAGGTCTTGAACCCACCATTTTCTTGTTTGACAGAGAGTAACCAATTGTAGATGCTTTTCTTATCAATTTTATCCCAAGAACCATTACTATTGGCACATGAAGATAATGCTTCAATACTTGCATAAGTAGCAGCTAGATGTGGTAATTGTCCAATACCACCACCGAATGGACCACCTTCTGGAGAGATGGCAAAGGCTTTTTCCTCAATACGTCTTCTCATTTCATCACTGACCAAATCTTCAGACAACATAGCCAAAGAATTAAGCACCCAATAAAGAATCCACGGTTGAGAAGCATCCAAAGCTGTCATTTGAGGTGGTAATTTAATTTGGAAAGCATAGTCTAAATATTGTCTATGGAAATCTGATTTCAACTCTGCCTTTTCATTAACAGCTGTTAAAAGTGAGACACAATCATTGATGACATGAGCTCTTGCTTCTGTAGTTTCAGTATCTTGTTCTTTCATCAATATTTCAATTTCTTCTACGTCGTTGTCGTTGTCGTTGTCGTTGTCGTTGTCGTCTTCCTGATCTTCTTTATATGGTTCTTCAGAGACTACTTGTTCCACAATCTCTCGACGTCTACCCAGTAAATTCCCAATAAACTTTGCACGTCTAATTTCACCAACCATATTTTCAATAATTAAATTTCATTAACATCATAAAGCCATTGGTGATCAAAAATAATTCCAACAATAGATATATATATATATGTATATATAAATATAAATATAAGGAAATGAATCAAATGAACAACAAAACCACCAGATCTTCTTCCACCCACTCGAATCTACCTAGCCCCCCTTCCACTGCTTAACAAAACTCATTAATCAATCTCATTAAACCAAATTTAAAGCTGTTCGAAACTGCTTAAAATCGTTGTCGAAGCAACATTTTTGCTTAAACTTTGCATGTCAGGTAGCACCATGTTTTAAAAAGAATTCCATCCAAAAACCTCAGATAACCTCGCAGAAGCATGATAATTTTTCAGTCGAAACTCGAATTTTCGAAAATTGTTCATTTTCTATTCCAAGTTGAAACAATCATGTAATTACCCTTTAAGGTAAGATGCCAGGTTAATACGTAATCCAAAATTCCAGAAGTTAAAATAAAGGACAAGTGTACCTGTTTAGTTAATATTCTGATGATGATTGGGTTTGAATTCTGTTCTTTTCATTTGTAGATGGACATCTTTATCCACGCTGTGGAGTGGTGGGTCAGATTTGTAATTGGCGTTGAGTAGAAATGGATTAGAAAAATTAAAAAAGAAATGGAGGTTTATCCAGACCCTTGAAAGTTCGAAATGGTTTTAGATTCTCTTTGGATTGACAATTTGAATGCAATATTTTGTATATATATAAATGATTTGAGTATTTATGGTTAGTGGTAAAGACAGAAGAGGAGGAGGAGAAGAAGAAAAACAAAAAACACGGAAGATGGAGTATTTTATGGAAATGTTAGATGGTCGATGGTCGATGGTCGATGATCTATGGTCGATGGTGTACTTGAATGATTGATTTGATTAGGCTGTGATGAGATATGTTTAGAGATCGTTCCATCCGAATAGCCAGTCGTTAACCTTGTGCAATAGACTGGCGGTTTGTTGTTGTTTCTGTTGTACGTTTAATTCCTCTTGGTGACGCATCTTGTTCTCTAAAGATCTTAAGAAATTGTGATTGTCTGAATTGGCATTATGAACAAATAATGATTTCCCATCTTTGATATCTAATCTGCGTGTTGATAATGGAGACTTCAATTGATTGGAAATATTTGGTGTAAGTGTATCTTGGGTTGTTCCCATTAGTGGTGTTTGCATCTCTGGTTTCTTTGTTGAACCTAGTGACAGCATAGAAACTGTTGCTGGTTCCGTGACATGTGATTCCCCTGGAGTAATGATTTCGTTGTTAGTACTTAAAGCTTCAGTAATACGATGGTTAAAAAGACCGATATCGTCAATCTTCTCAATTTTACATGATGCCAATTGCTCAACTGCTTCTTTAGAGTATGGAATACATCCAATTAATGAACCACCTAGAATCGTACCGTTTTCTTGTAATGCTCTTAATGCAGATGCAGAAGAATCATAGGTAAGTTTCACCCAACCATCTCCTGTAAAAATAGGGTATTTCCTTTCATTGCTGACATTTTGATCCAATTTTTGACCACATAATCGAAGAGTTGAGACATTTATACCAGAAGCACTACGTAATACTTGGAAATCTTCTAAAATATTACCAAATTTAGAGAAATGTGTTATAATTGAATTTGATACGGACTCTGGATAACCAAATACTATAACTGCACCTTCACTATTTGTTGGTGAGCTAGGTGAACCTGTAACTTTGTTAGATTTTTCGAATTTTGATGATGCTTGATTTGAAAATAGATTCTTTTCATTATTTTTATCAAATGCATTAGCAGAAGTATCCAATTTTGAAGTGCCCAGTGAGAGAGCCGATGATTCGTTCAAACTTTCTGGACGAGCAGAAGAAATTAAACTTTCACCCAATGTGTTTGTTGATTGTGAGCCATCCCAGTTAGATGGTAAACTGCTCATAGTCCCTAAGTCATCTTCACGTTTCCAATCATATAATGAAACTGTAGGTGGAGCTTCATTGGAGTCAACAAGCAAATTATTGTCACCACCATGTTGTAATCCAGAGCCTTGGTTATTTTGAGAATTGAACATCATTGCAGATTTCTTTGATCCAAAAGTTAAGTTTTCAAATCCACTGTTTGCATTAATATTGGTTGATCCGGAAGATAAAGATGTAGTCGAAGCTCCAGAGGTAGCCATCGAACCACCTGTAGTACCAGTTTGTTTAGTTGGTCTTCTCACAATAGTTTGTGGAATAGATCTCTTTTTAGGATTATTAAACCAAACGGGCTCCTGTTGCTGAGAATTCTGCTGATATTGAGATTGATCTGAACCAAATACACTATTAGAACCAGAATTATGCAATGATAAATACTGTTGTTGAGGCTGGGTAGGTATCTGCTGATAAACTTGCTGTTGTCCACCTCCGGATTGAGAATTTTGATTTGGCATCTGTTGAGCCATGTTCACTGAAACATTTGCAAACCTGCTATTTCCTGACTGTCCACTTGCGCCAAACATCAACTAAATATACCTATAACGAGAACTGAATATCTGTACAATGACCACCAGTAGAGACTACAAAGCCAAGGGCTAACCTCCTAGATCAATTCAAATTCAGTAACCTCTTCTTATATCAACTACATCTTCAAGTTGACATGACATACAAATTTTCTAAATCGATGTTTGTTATTGAAAATATTGGAATATACTAATGTTACCCGGACATTGAAGTGGTGTATTACACGTGATATATATTTTCTAGTCACATGATCTTAGGTAGTTATCCGGTAGATGTATCAAGAAGAAACTGATGGTTCTAATGTCGTGCTGAATGCAATAATAGTATGATCAGTTTTATTGTTTGTTTATACAGGGAGCACTGGATACAAATACTAATTGTTAGTTACCATTTGATGGGAGTATTTTTTTTCATTCGAAATAACTACGTAACTTAAGTCATCTGACCCAATACTCTTTTCCGTCATTGATTGGTGTATAAACCTCATAGAGTAGATATTGATCTATCGTAAGATAGAGCAGCGCTGTAGGCACCATATGTGTTTTGTTAAAATGCAATGTTTGATTCATGACAAAATAATCAGCCATTTAATAGTGTCATGGTATATATATATATATATACCATGACACCATAGATAATATATCACATGATTTATTATCATTATTTACGATATGTTTCATACCATATTGTCAGATTGGGGGTTATCCATATGTATCACGTGCATTCCATCATTGAAGCAGATAAAGGCACTTAAAGGCAACAAATCTTGTTAAACAGGCACCTTTGGGATCTCAATATTATGGTACCAAAACTTTTGAGCAGTGTTATTTATAACTTTGATCGTCCCTCTACAAATGCTGTAACCAGAAAAATGACACTCCAAGACAAGGTATTGAATATACATCACTAAAAATTGTGGACATCCAAGAAGAATCCTAATTTCATAGGAACCCAGACTCATCCACCTTACATAAAGTACTATTATACTAAACATACCCCATATACAATATACATATACGTAGTTCCTCGAGAAATAAAACATCGTTCTATAAAAATGCCAGCAAAATTTTTGTTGGCATTTTTGAACAGCTTCTTGAATTCAGGTGGGACTGTCATTTCATGGTTGTGACAATTGAGAACTTCTTTCGTCAATCAATGGTACCCTCTGAAATCTATTCTATCTAATTATCTGGTTACCTGTATTACTTCAGCGTTCTCTTCTTCTGTTTGTTTCTCAGTGTTTCTAATTCTTCACGCATCTTAACGTAACCAAGATGAATCTTTCCCAGGAAGTGGTCAGCTATTCTTCTATCTGTATCCAGACGAGATAGATAAGCTCCACATACTTCACAAACTTGCAACTTCTGTTGTGCACTCTGTCCTACATTTTCAGTAATATTTCTTACTCTCTTAGCTACTTCTACTCTTTCCAACTTCATGTCTTCCAATTTCAAGGATTGGGCCATTGCCTTCGACACTTCATCCGCTTTCAAAAGACTCACAATCTCTTGATCCATAAGACCTATCTTTGTATCCAGCACATCTAATTCTTGAGTAACATTATTGATCTTTTCCCTCTCCTCGGGGGTATGTTCCAAGTTCTTCAAAGCAACCGCAATTTGACCATTGCACTCATTCACAAACTTGGATAAAATGGCATAATACTCTCTTTCAAATTCAGGAAACCCACCTCCTTCCTTCTCATACTGTATCCTATACTTGGCCAAGTGGATCTGGGGACATCTACCCATACTCTGTTTTGTCCCCAAAAATAAATCATAAGGACATTCACCAACCAGATAGGACTTACAAATTCTAGCATCATGTAGTCCCAGATCCTTCTGAACTACACCATACCTCCCTCTACCACCGTGATGATGTTGTTGTTCATATCCACCATCTCTACCCATAAGTTGTTCCAACAATTTACGTTGTTCTGCAGCAGGTGTACTCATCTTTAACTGAATATAAATCTATATGTGGAGAGAAAACAACAACAATAAACCAGACACACACTATCACAAACTATCAATATACCTCTAAAACCAACCTCTTGGTCCTCTATCTCTTCCCTTCTTAATCACATCTCTTTAAAAGTGTCTATCAGTTCATCTCATCTCATCTCAGCTCATCGCTAAATATTTAAAGCTTTTGGAAGGGAACTTCCAGAATTAAAAACGTCATTAAATAAAAACATATTGGATTGATGATCAACAGTTTTGAAGTTGATATAAAGGTAAGGAAGAGTTGATATATTCTAGCAGTAAACTGTCAGGTTGGGTTTATATTATCAGGTATTGTCTGTGATATTTTGGTATAATTTGTATCTTTGTCTGTTTCAAGAATAAATTCGGTTATAAGATTTAAGGTATTTGTATCATTTTGAAGATCTAAGAGTAATAATTTTTGGGATTGTATTAATAGAGATAGTGATAGAGATAGAGTTGCTTTAGGATAAGGATCTTGAAGATTTTTAAAATGTTGATCAAGAGTGTTTACAATACTGTGAACAGGATTTATGAGACTTTTGGTAGTGGCAAGACGTTTGAAGCTGGGGTAGATACAGTGTTGATATTAGGTGGATCTTCTAATAAGTTTGGGTTAGAAGTTTGTAAAACTTTTGTTTTGAACTACAATTCAAAGGTTATTAATATTGATACTAATGATATTTCTTATTTGTTAACTATGCAAGAGGCCTTTGTGAAAAATTATACTTTTGTTGAGTGTTCTTCACTTTCGAATAGAGATAAATTGTTAGAAAGTTTAAAATTTATTAAGGATAATGAGATTAACGTCACTGTCTTTATTAACAATCTTCAAGAAGGTTTGGAGAGTCTTTATAGTACTGATTATGAGGAATTGTTGTCTGTAGAGGAGAGAATCGAACATCTGGAGAGATGTGTGACAATTAATCTCACAAACGTAATGATTGCCACTAAATACTATCTAACAGAAATTATTCCTCAAATCCAGCAGAGATTGGAAAACCCTTCATTTTATATTATAAATATGTCCTGTGAGCAACCTGATGGTTCTTTATTATATGCTTCACATTATTTATGTTCCAAAATGGCTTTGAACCAATTTCACGACGGTTTATCTTCTGAATTGAGTCAAAGAGGTAAAACCTCAATAGAGAAAAGTCAATTACCAAAGATTAAAATGCTATTGATCTTTTTACCTCATATTGTTGATTATAATAATTGGAAAAACCTTTGTCCTGCTTTTGCAAAAGAATTTGTAAAATGTATTGAAGATGGAAGAAGAGGTTTCCATGTCTTACCAAGAGACGTCTACACAAAGAGAAAGAGATAATCATCTCCGCATCTCTCTCCTCCCCTACCCTCTCAAGTTCAACTTCACACATTTCTATCCATTTTAATTAAATTAAAACAAATAAGACTAATAACAAAATAATTAGGACCAAAGCATTTCAAATATAAGTTCGTTCTCCAATCAACCATAGATAATGATATTGGCCAAACCCAACATTCCATATCTTTTACTACTTCAATATTTAATAATAGCTACAAATTTTTTTTCTCTTTAAAACATTACTAGCTCTACTATTTAATTGGAATAATATATCGATACTACTCATTTCATTTCATTCCATGTCGATTCAATTCTTTATTAATCCTTTATCAATTACTACTCATTCATTATGCATACACTGACATCTTTCTATGCTTCCATATATGAAAAGATGCATAATTTTATCTAAAATTTAAATTTCAACCATTGATATAAACAAGGTTTAAGAAGAAGGTGGTATTGGATCATAGATTAGGAACAACACATTACAAATAGGTATCAAATGTCTTCTGCTGCTGCGTCTTTAAAACCTTTTACAAGTGCCTTTTCATATACAATACGAGCAATCTGTTTTCTTCATATTACCCATAGCTATATCTATGAATTTACTGAAACAAGAGGTGAATCGATGTTACCTACTTTAGCTGCAGAAAACGATTATGTGCATGCTATAAAGAAGTATAAAGATGGTAAAGGATGCCAGATTGGTGATTGTATAGTAGCAGCAAAACCTACTGATCCAAGCCATCGAGTTTGCAAGAGAATAACAGGTATGCCTGGAGATTATATATTGATTGATCCAAGTTTGAATGCTATTCGTGAAGGTACGGATTTGGATGAACCATTTGAATCATATATTCAAGTTCCAGACGGTCATGTTTGGGTTACTGGTGATAACCTCTCTCATTCTCTCGATTCAAGGACATACAATTCAATTCCGATGGGCTTAATAAAAGGTAAAATCGTTGCAGCAAATGATTTCAACAAACCCTTTTGGAACGGTTCATTAACTAACATTTTAGGTTTCAGGTGGATTAAAAACATATATGTTGAAGAAAGTAACGATAATTAACTTTCTCTCCCATTATTTTGCACGGTTACAACTACATACATACAAATATATATTCATTATAGAGCATTTCATATTCATTTTTATTCCTTTTTAAAAACAATTACTTGTAAATATATCTATTACTTTTCTAAAATATATACTATAAAATGGTCATTAGATTTGTTTCCCAATGTTTCTTAGGAATTTAGTACCAATGATTAAACTTGGAATGATTAAATATAAACCAGCGTGTAAAGTTTCGAAAATAGAGACTCCCAAGTAATAATTAGTGAAAATATATTCAAATCCAACAATTGAAGAAATCATGACAATGAAGTAGATGGAGTTCATACCGCCTGGGATACACATATTTGATAAAACACCAGTTGATAACCAAGTACCAATCAACAAAACTACACAACCAGCGATAGCAAGTGAGAATACTTGAGCAATGAATGCTGGAGCAGCTTTTGGTGGTGAACGGAAAATATGATGAATTTCATCCTTGAAACCAAATCTAGATGGCTTTGTATATTGAACTTCCAAATCTGGTGATAGAGTTAACTGGAATACCCTGCCGAAGATATTATTGTTTTTATTATCTTCATTAGCTAATAGCAAAGTAGCCTCTAAAGATTCCTGATTTTCAACAGCTCTTGATAATAATGCCTTTGATAAAGCGTTTAATCTGATATTGAATAGATAGACTAACTTATCATCCTTCTTTTGTACCAAAGGTTCAATTACAGTTTCCAAACCATCCCTTGGGAAACCCAATAATAAATGACTTTTAATCGCATTATCAGAGTTTGAAGGGATTGAAAAACCAAATTCAATGATTTCTTCTAAATCTTTTACAGTAACTTTATGACTCAGTCCCTTGGAATTGATTTTAGTATCAAATTTGTCAATTGAAATTGCAGATTTCCCACTTCCAGGGAAATTAATCTTACCATTAGAAATGCTGAAAGCTAAACTTTGATAAAACAAAGCGATAAAAATCACCAAAACTTTAGAAAACTGCATAATGAACCACTTACAGAGCCTCCAAAACACCTTCAATTAGTCTCCAACTGTAAAAAACTTCCAATTCTTCTGCTATCTTGTCTCTTGTACTTCTCTAAAGTTTCACCTTTTAATAGATTTCATTAATATTTTCGATACTGCTAAAAATATTCAAAGTCACGTGATATACTAGACAATGACATTGTTAAATCAATATATAAGGGTTACGACTACATATATTCTATCCTATTTACAATGATCATATAAGCTCTATAGGGTTTGAAAGATGGGATAACATCGATGTTATCATTGTGATGTGTTTTGCCATCATGCATTCCCTTTTTTATTAAATTTTTTGGAAGATATATTGGATATAACCTTCTTTAGAGAGAGTCTAGAAGATGCGATGGAATAATGGCATCTATAAAGTCTCTGGTGACATCGAATGCGATAAGCTGTTCCTTATCTATTCCCAACAACTCCAATTGTTCGCTTGCTGTATGAAGGAAAAAATCTTCAAATGGATAACCTAAGTAGTACATTGTCAAAAGGTTTACCACATCTTTTGGTAAAATTTCACATAAATGGTACAATGTGATCGCAAATGACATGCTTTTACAACTGACTTCAGCTGGGACCCCTGCGTATCCAGTATATAATCCAGACATTATTATTGTATCACAACAGGATGGAAAAGACCTGAGTGAATTCCAAGTTGCATTAAAAACTGGCTCATATCCTGATCTTAAAGGTTCTGCTTTCATAAAACTTGAATGCGAGGGAGCAACTATCGTTGGAACATGTAATATATGCCTTATCTTGTCACTTGATTCTGGTAAGAAATAATCATAGGCATCTATTAAAGTAGATGATCCTATAGGATAATATTCATTGTTTAATTTCGATCTAAACCATGTTTCAAAGGGTTTACCTCCATAATACTCACAAAGGGCTAAATCAAATCCTCCTCCAAGGTACCCAAACGAATTCCCTGGTGATACAACAACACATTTTTCAGGAGAACAATATGGTCTAGTCCCCTCCTTTGATAATTGATTGACATTGGTTTTATATAATTTATGAGCTAATGCTTCAAAAGTTGTGTTGTGAACCTCTACTTTCCCTTTGTCCAAAAGGGACTTTGGCAGCATCTTTCTCCATAGAGAACAAACAGTTTTGTTGGTATCACAAAGTACAATTCTCATATCTATCGATGAATTTCTATATCGTGTTTAAATGTAGATATCAAAATATATCACTTCTTATATACTATATCAGTCAAGTTAAAGAATGATTTCTTTTCAAGTTGCCTTAAAGCCCATTGAAGTAAATTAACGGGAAAGAGAGTCGCATAACTTCAACATTTGATTGTACATAAGAATAAAGTGAAAGTATGATTAATCATGACTTGAAGTACAAATATAATAATGATAATGATAATGATAAATATTACAAATAATGTCTACTCATACTAAACATATAATAAATGCATCTGATGTATGTATTATAATGATACATTCAATTTAATGTTAAATTAATCTAAAATATTTTATAATTAATGGCAACATAAAAATAATTTGGTAGAGAGAAAAACACTCACACAAATATTAAAGATCGAAATGAAAAAAACAAAGAAACAATAAATTACTGTTGTTGTTCTTTTTTCCTGCCAAACAATTTCTTCAATTTGGTTCCAAAAGTAGTTTTGTTTTTGGCATCACTTTCGCTTCTAGTCGATGACTCTCCGGGTACTGGATTATTAGAAGGCATTCCACCATTTGTATTGGACATACGCGAGGCATTCAATTGGTTTTTATCACCCACACTTGATGATCTTAGTGAAAGCTTACTCCATTTCTTATTTATCTTGTTTGGTGAAACATTTTCTGAAACTGACCTCAAATTTGAATGATCATCTGCACTATAATGTCCTTTGAATGCAGGATTCGGAGGTGTCATATCACCTCTTCTACCAGAGAAGCCACCGCTAGATGGCTTGCTATAGCCCTCATCATCAGAGTCGGAATCTTGGAATCTTGATTTCCAATCACCTCCCATAGGGTTGGACCATTGAGAATTAGCATTAGAAGCTTGTCTTTGATCTATTTGTGCAGCTTCTAAACGAGCGCTATCTCTTAAAGACATACTCTTGAAGCCTATCGCACCATCAGAATTTCTTACTTTTTCGAAACTAGATCTCTTTTGTGGTGGCTCCTTAGGATACAATATGTTATTTGATAAATTAGATGGACTCGTAGGTTTATAATTAGGTTTGGCTTCAGTAGATTTACTTTGAGTTGAGGTAGTGTTTGGTGATTTATTATTATTAGTATTGCTCATTAATTTGCTTCCTCTTCTTTCTACAGAAGTATTAGAAAGCATAGAATGACGATTAGCTGGGGAAGTAGTACCAGACTGACCCTTACCCTTGACGGGTTCAACTAACGAGTTTCTATTTCTGTTAGAGACCATTGATCTTGGTCTTGTATTTGCCCTAACAATTGTTGGTTTTCTGGAAACATCGGATGCAGCAATCTGGGCATTTAATCTAGTGTTCTCTGCTGTCGTCAATGAAAGATATGCCTGGCTAGCAGGTGAACTGGCATTACCATAAGTGTTCTCCTTACTTGAAGTTGTTGGATTTTTCTTCATTGCTGACTTTATTGGCGAAGTAGTTTTTGCACTATACTTTTGTTCTGTTGGAGGATTTTCTGAATTTGAACCATTAACTACTTTTGACAATGGAGACCTAGAATTGGCAGGATGGATAGGCAAAGCAGAAGATTGGTTGGCTAAATGTGGGCTAATTGCACGTAAATATTGTGCCATGTTAGGGCTGCCTTCCTTTCCACTTTTATCACTGGAGACACTGGCATTACTTGTTTCCTTTTGTAGCTTTAGAGGAGAGGCAAAATCTTGATTATTACCAACTTCCATATTACCATTAGCATCCTCAAATACTTCAGATGCATTAATTTCTGCCATTTTATAAGGATTATTATCTTGTAAAATTTTATCCTGTATGTTATCAACACCACTACTTTCAGCATTAGATCCATTTTCAACACTAGGAGCTGTTTCACTTCCAACTTCTAAAATTTCATTTTCTTTATTCTCTGTGTTTGAAACTTTAGTAGTTTCTTCTGTTTCAGAGGATACGTCCTTTTCGAGTTTTTCTGATGATTCGTCCAATGTTTTTCCAGGGGCATTTTTATCTACAATTTCGTTCAAATCTGGTTTATTGTTTTCATCAATATGTGAGCTTTCCAAATTTTCAGATTTTATCACTTCTTTCATTTCCTCATTTTCAGGATGTCTGATCTCTTGATTATCCCCGTTATCTCTTTCTTCAACACCATTATTTATAGAGTTCAATGATCCTGCATCTAGAGGCAATACATCTTCATTTGAAATATCTTTTACATCGGGTTGGATTTCTCTATTTTCCTTAATTTCTATATTGTTGAATTTACTATTTTCATCTTCTTCAGGAATACCTGTTTCTATTTTCTTGGTATCTTCACCGATAGCATTGGTTTGATATTTTTCCTTAGGTGGATTCGCAACTTCCTTTTCATCTGGTACAATTTTTATGTCCTTTGGTCTTCTATTCAAACCTTCCAAATGATTAGATTGTATCATCATTGGTCTTATTTCTAGGTTTTCGTCATTAAGTTCTTGTTCTGTTTCTTCTTGAACAGATGTGTCAAATAAAGACATATCTTCTTCCTTTAATATTCTTGGCTTTGAATGCATGTGGCTAACCGAATGGGTAGAATGAGGCTTTTGAGAACTTTGATTTTGGTTTTTACTATTACTATTAGTATTGTTATGATTATTATTTTTGACTTTATTTTTATTATTAATATTGTTGTTATGATTGTTACCGTTATTGGCACCGTGCACTTTAGAGTCTTTTGACCCAGTTAAAGATGATTTTCTCTTTTCTTGAGGTTGTGCTAAAGAATTTCTTGAAGAGCTTTTTCTCAATGGATTTTCTTGTGCTTTCAAAGAGTTTGATGAAGATTTATTTTTCAAAGAGCCAGATCTCGATGATGCATTATGGAATGTTGCTGATACAGAACGTCTTACTTTCCTGTTTCCTTGAGGGTCTTGTGGTTGTTGGGCCACAACCGGTACCTCTATGGCGATCAAGCCGTGTGGACCAGGGACATATCTTTTTGAAGTCATTGAATCATTTCTTGACATTGAGTTTGTTCTACTAGAATTTCTATTTAGAGAAGTAGAAGATGGTTTTCTATGCATGATCCCAGGGGAAGCCTGTTTCCCACCGAATTCGGTGAATGCATGTTGTGGATCTACATCATATTCTGATTGTTTTATGACACTTTGTCTTCTCCTTACAATTGAACCCGAAGCTGAATTGCTTCTAATCTGTTGGTTTGAATTTTGTAAGCTTGAAGTACGTGGTTTGTTTGCACTACTATCTCTCTGAACAATCATTGAGTTTCTTCTCATGGGTTTCGCACTTGATTTCAAATTTGAGTTTGAAGGTTGGGATGAAAGATTACGATTCTGTATACTATTTTTCCTGCTACCATTTCGGCTATTGCTATTACTGGTACGCATTATGGAATTCCGACGATTGGAATTATTGTTGGTGGTGGTTGCACCTGATGAATTGGGTTGGACAGGATTGCCTGCGTTATTATTATTATAAGCAGGTAATTTTGAGTGATCTACTCCTCTTCCATTGGTATGCAATGCTTTGCCAATGGCTGAGGCAGCAGCCAAAGCACCTAAATTAACAGGTTCTTCAGGAGCTCTTGAAACTCTACGAGACCTGAACATTTATATAATTAATTATGGTTCGATTGAGTGTGTCTCAATTTTTTTATTTTCTTAATTTTATATTATTCTATTTTATTTCTGGAACCAAATGAATGGGAAGGAAATAAAAACCGATTGAAGAGTACAATAAAGAAAAACTCAGAACACAAACAGCTGACAGAATAATATACTGTATTTTTATAATTATTGGAAATGACTGTTCTTTTTTTATATTATTTTATTTTTGATTCTTACTCCCACTTCGAAATCAGCCTTTTCTATAATTGATTCACCTTAAAATTAGAAACCAAGCTGAAAAAAATCAAACCAAAAAAATAAATATAGAGTTAAAAAAGGACAATCTAAAGGTATCAATTAATGCAAAACAAACAAAACCAAAACCAAAATCAAAATCAACACCTAAACAAAAAAAAAAGATCAAAACGAGAAGGATAAAAAAAAAACAAATCCTACAATAACAAAGCCTATGCTATGATATGTTATGATATACAATTAACACTGACACTAACACTAAAAAATTAATATTAATATTAATAACAAATTTCCCCTTCCTTGAAATGAAACTCTTGCTGTTCGAATTGGTTGCTAACAATGAATTGAGCTATGGGAATAAGCTACTGGGCAGTGAATATTAATATACAATATTTGGGTTTCTTATTAGTATAGAATAGGATAGAATGGTATAGTATAGTATAGTATAGTATACGAAGGTGAAGTATCTTGGGTTGAAAACTCAAAGAAGACTATTACTATTGTGGTTGTTGTAACTTGGGGCTCTGATATCGATATATTATAGATTGTTTTTGCTATTTATATCGAAAGAGCTACTAATAAAAGAGAGTATGTTCTTTTTTGTGTAATGTACATATGTAATATATGTATGTATGTATGTATGTTTTTGTGTTCTCTTTGTGTTTTTTGTGTTGTCTTTGTGTGCGGCGGTCGATCTAATTTTTTTTTAATTTGCGAAAAACAAAGAATTGACTGGTTTTAGTTAGTTGGTTAGTTAATTGGTGGGGGGGGCGATTGAGGGAAGGGAAGGGGAGGGGAAGGGGGGTGGGCCACACGCAGTGTTACCCGGATATGAAGTGGTGGTAGGGCGGGTAACTGTTGGGAAGGGAATACAAAGGATTATGGAATATAAGGGATAAGGAATTAAGGAGAGTCGTGTTTCATAGTATTAATTAATAGATAATTATGGTAATGGTAATGGTTGGTGCCTTTGTCTATAATTTGGCCACGTGATACCGATACTGATACTGATTTTCAGGTCACGTGACAGAGTGTAGATTCTACAAATACAATATACTACACGATGGAATGATTGATGATTAATGATTCATGAGTGTCAGTCTCTTTATATGTATGAGATCATGGCACAAGTATGTATCTTATCTTAGTGGTATTATATAGTGTGGAGTTGTAAACACTTCCCAAGGC